ACTCACTTGGTCCGGGGCTCCCCGGACCTGAAGTGAAATTTTTCTAAGTAAATTTTCGAAATTCGATACCAACTTTTTATGTTTTCTGGACGTTTCAGAAGATTCTCTATCGATTAGTTCGATCGAGAAATGAACTTTTCTGTGACCCGAATATGTTGGTGCGATGAAATTTTTCTAAGTAAATATAAAAATTTTATATGTAAAATTAAAAGTTTTCTCGACTTTTCAGATGATTTGCAGCCATTTATTTTTTTGAAACTGGTCCGCCGGACCGGTCCGGGTCCGGGTTTTAGTCACTCGGTCCGGGTCCGGCGGACCGGTCCGGGTCCGGGTTTTAGTCAGTACCTTAATTGTGCTAACGTTAGCTCACATCGGTGTATGATTATGACTAGCAGGTTTTTATTCTTATAGGCCTAACTGATTATTCGTCTATAGTCGATATAATAGGTTTCACAATCTTCGTGTGCAGTCGTGGACGTCACCGTCCGCCCGGGACGTGAAGCGTTTCTTAGTGTACTCAACTCTCAAGTAGACGTTCTCACGTTCCGATTCTCATACTAGTCTTCAACGTAATTTAAAAAAATACTTTACAGATGTCTAGACTTTGAGAAACTGGCAAATAAATATAATTTTCTCTAGCACGAACATAGCAAAGACGAAATTCACAATAAAAACTGCACGCTCCGCCGGCTCCGGAGCCCCATTTCTCACTCACCCTTCTATATTCATTATCTCTTTACAACTGCGGGTGGTGGGCCTGGTGGCCGTGGTGCACACTGCACACGCCGAGTATACCAGATTGCCATGTTCTAGAATGTTCTAGAACATTCTATATCAGATACCATTTTTTTTCTTGTCCAAAACAGATTAGGCTAATACCTCCAAAATATAATGAAACTTAATTGTCGTCATAAATGTTGGTTAGAACAAGGAAAGTCATTTATATCACAATTATTGTTTTTAAGTTAAAATAGAATTAGCGAAATTGAACATGTTAAATTTAATTTTGCCTGCCTGGGTACCGGAAAAGGCTCCAGCAATGGTTTGGAGGGATAATTCCTACGAAAAGGGGTATTTTTTAACAAGTTTTGCAAGTTACAACAAAAACTCGATATTGTGTCCGAGGAAAATATAGATTTTTTATCAAATATATTGTTTTATTTCAGTCATATTTTCGAAGTGTCAGAACGTAACAGAAATATACTATATAGGCTACCAGGTTTAGCAAATATTCCGGATCAAAAGTATCCATTCATACCAGACACCATCCCAACATACCAGATTTGTGAAAACTGTTATAGAAATATACCAGATGGCAACTCTGCTTCACAACTTCATTGCTGCGCTGCAGAGGTGCCAACTCTCTTAATAACTTAATAAATCATCAAAGCTAGTATTATGGATGTTTGAACATATAGAATGAATAAAAATTCACGAACTATCTAATTACTTAGGTCATACTGCCGTATGTTACGAAGCCTGAACTTATTCATGTTATTTTAATTTACAAGGACTACACTCAAGTTTGACAACGCAAGTGTCAGGTTGTGATGTCATTACTGACTATTACGTCACCTTCTGTGACGTCACTACTCGTGGGTCACCGCGTATATAAGCTGAGAAAGCGCACTGTTAGTGAGTCCCAGCAGAGTCTCAGTCTTAGGCAGACAGCCTTCAGCTGCAGTCATGCAGACTCCGGCACTCAGACCAATATGTAGTGTCGTTAACTCTATCTCCCAATCTACTGCACATACTGTGCTTGATCCTGTAACTTCTATCGAGTGTATCCCATGAACCTTTCTTCAATACTTAAGCTTAGATACACGACTTGTTATTTATCCTTCCCTGGCCGATGAGTATTTAATCTGTTATTCGGACAATTTATAAATGAACCAAAACCCCTCAGGTCTATCTACGTCTAATTAGTAGATCAGACAGATCCATTCAAGATTATGACTGTCAACCCAGAACAGAGTTATTCATAACTTTGACACAAGTGCTACAGTTTATTAATACTTATTACAAGCATATATAATTAGCGTGCATGTCTTAGAACATCCGCCATCGCTTATCAAACTAAACTAATTATCGAGTCAAAGAAAGTTCCCCGTAGATGCCACGGCCCTTGATTCACGCAGGATAGCCTGAGTCCAGCTACAAATTGAGTCAGAAAACTTGAGGCCGATTCCAGCTACAACTTGAGTCAGAAAACTTGTGGCCGAGTCCAGCTACAACTTGAGTCAGAAAACTTGAGGCCGATTCCAGCTACAACTTGAGTCAGAAAACTTGTGGCCGAGTCCAGCTACAACTTGAGTCAGAAAACTTGAGGCCGATTCCAGCTACAACTTGAGTCAGAAAACTTGTGGCCGAGTCCAGCTACAACTTGAGTCAGAAAACTTGAGGCCGATTCCAGCTACAACTTGAGTCAGAAAACTTGTGGCCGAGTCCAGCTACAACTTGAGTCAGAAAACTTGAGGCCGATTCCAGCTACAACTTGTGGCCGAGTCCAGCTACAACTTGAGTCAGAAAACTTGTGGCTGAGTCCAGCTACAACTTGAGTCAGAAAACTTGAGGCCGAGTCCAGCCACAAATTGAGTCAGAAAACTTGTGGCCGAGTCCAGCTACAAATTGAGTCAGAAAACTTGTGGCCGAGTCCAGCTACAAATTGTGCTGATGAATTGTATTTACGTACATTTCAGCTCATCAATACGAGTTACGTATAAGCAACTCCCGTCTCGCTAACCAAGTCGACTTCATTTCAAACGACGGTAGACGAAGCCCAAATAAGCGGGATCCTCATTAATAACATTATCGCTTAGTGATCACTGACTGACGCTGATCATTTCTACCATCTACAATTTCTATTCGGGGATCATCTTTACCACCCGGACAATTCCCATTCGGTTTCTTCTGAATATAAATTTATCTCTACAGTGTATATGGAAATTAAGATTGGAATATAGAACAGCCGGCAAAAACATTAATGCCACGCCGCCGAAAATTTTGAAACGCATGAATATATAAGCTATTATGTGAATGATATTGTATAATAATTCACAAAATTCAATAAAGATCACGAATAATATCTAGCAGATACATCGCTAATCACATGCAGCAATGGAGAAGGATGCAAGCATGCGATGCTTTCCAAACATGAATATCATTTCTATTTATTGCCGACGAATTTATGGTATTTGAAATGAATTGCAGATATAACGATTTGATAAGGTTTGGCCAAGTAATTGTGTGACTTGTGAGTTTCCCTTGGTCGTTGGTTTGACACTCAATTCGAATGAGACAGGAGAAACGCCGTAAAACAAAACGAAAGAACTACAAACAGAATAGTTTCTGAATAAACAATACCAGGACCACATTTTTTCTTTCTGAATAAACAATACCAGGACCTTTATGGACCACATTTTCTAAAGCAAGCAAAAATTTTTTTTTCGGTAGTTTCTTGTTAATATGGTGACTAAGTGGGTTAAAGATGAGTTTAGTATATTGAAAAAAAAAAAAAATTAAAGGCGACATTTCAGTCCACTTGGTCTTACGAGACTACAACATCGAAAGCGACCGTACAATCCATTTGGTCTTATGAGCGTAAAATATGCATGCAATTCCAAAGTTTGTTTACGTGAAAACGTTATTATTGATTGATTTTGCTGAAAATAATAGAAATTACAAGAAATTGGAAAAAATATTGTATTTTGGCCAAAAAATGCCTCATCCAAGATTAAGTTTTGCAAAGCAATTTCGTGTTTTTTCGCAGCAAAGGTGAACTTTGCATATCATGCAGTACATGTGGATGCGCCCTGTGCATTTAGGAAGTTTGCACATTCCCTTTTTCTCATTAATCTCAGGGAGATGACCGACCCCATCTTTCCGAAGTGACTGACTAGGAATTGGTTTTGAGGCATGGCCACTTGCTTTCTTCTTAGCAAAGTTGGACTGCACAGTTTCCTCAGTTGGTCGCCCTCTTTTCTTCACTACATCTTGACCAACAAACATGAGTGAATCAGCAAGATTCAGCTTGAATTCACAGAGTGAAGTCAGGTGCCGGTATCGAGTGTTTATTTTCGTTTCCACTCTGCGTCTCAGAAGCCAGCTGTTCACGACAGCCATATCAAGCATGTGGAAGATCAATCTCATGTAGTACTTTTTAAATCTGAAACTCATTCTATAGTATGACATCCTCTGGTCATGAAGGTCGACTCCACCCATGTGCTTATTGTAGGTCGATGCGATGTTTGGGATTGAGATATTTGTATACTCTCGTTTTTTCTTGTCGAATCTCCTGACTTCAGTTACAGGATGCGATGTCACAAAACTGGACAATAGACAAACAGACCGGCTGTCATTCCATTTTACAGCAGTTATAGCACTACTTCCCGCTTGTGTTTCGTGCTCATCAAAGGCACCACGATTGAGTTTTCGTAGCTGCTTATCGTCTATGAATTTCAATCCTGCCAATCTGCGTTCCTGTACGGTACCACATGCCCAAATCTTCCTAGTGGCAAGGTGCTCTACTAATTTCACCGATGAAAACCAGTTATCAAAATAGAGTTTATAGTGTCTTCCTTCAGGAATGCACTCGGCAAGCTGAAGAACAGAGTTTGCGCTTGCACCAAGGTCAGGAATTCCGGTGCGTGCAACCGGAAGAATTTTGCCAACGTAGGGAATGAAGTCGTACACCATACCAGAGGTACCAGCTAAGACGAAAATCTTATAGCCCCATTTTGATGTTTTTTTTGGAATGTATTGCTTCAGTGGAGAAGCTCCTTTGAAGGGAACCATTTGTTCGTCCACAGCTAGATGTTCTTCCATTGGTATTTTTTTGAATTTTTCGCGTAATGCATTCAAAAGAAATCTCACCTTCGCTAGCTTGTCCGTTGAATACAAAGTGTCATTTTCTACAAGATGAAGATTGGCTTTGATATCTTCCCACCTTTTGCGAGACATTACGGAAGATATCTTTTCATTCAAGGAATATTTTGCCCAATGAAGCCAAATAGGCAATTACAACATGTTTAGGTGTCGAGATATTCAATGCTAGCGCACCACCCAGCCTTATCTTTATTAGTGAACTGTTCTCATTAGGAAGGTTTGTTCACAACTCTGCTTCAAGACTGCAGGAATCACCTCCAAGACGAAATAAAGCTGTAACCGCAATCTAATTCTGTACCTACATCATATGGATAAATATCCAGCAAAATTTAGCATGGGCTGCCAGCGCATATTACTATAGTGACATTTACGCTATCTGAAAGACATTATTCTAATCATGTTATTATTACACCGTACGCGGAGTAGCAGTAGAAATGTCGGGACACTGCAGAACCTTCATGTGAAGCCAAGGGAGCGTAAATGTCCCTTATCAATAGCCCACTGCTTGACGTGCGCAACATTCAGTACAAACAATATTGCCCCTGCATAACTAGCGTAAAGAGCAGCCTCATGGCGTCAGGTGCGTAACAATATTGCTCCTGCATAACTGGCGTATAGAGCAGCCTCATGGCGTCAGGTGCGTAACAATATAGTCCCTACATAACTGGCGTATAGAGCAGCCTCATGGCGTCAGATGTAAGTACATTCTAATATTGACGGAGACGTTTGTATCCTTCGGCAAATCCTCATTACAAATTATAACATTTTGCAGCTAGCCGAGGTAATTGGTCAAAATGATCCAAATACTTGCATTCGTAGTGTAGACATCTTATTTCATCTGTAAATTTGTTACTATTAACGTATCTCGTCTACGTAGAGGGTAATTTGACTATTTGACGCAGGAAAGAAGTCAATTGCAATCATAACTAGTACAATTTTTTATATTCTTCCCTGGCATGTATTTTTTTAAGTGTAATTTCTTTGCTCCCACTGGTATACTACCCTTATTCCCTGCTAAAAAAAAGTACTGCACATTCGTGATGAGGGAGAGCAGGCCAAGTCGATGCAAATATGACAATTTTTTTCTAAGGATATTAAAAGAATGAGATTGTATTATCCTAGTTCATAACGCTGCCAACTTTTAATTTTCGTTTGTTTGCTCTAGCAATGTGCACTTGCTATTCTTACAAACATAGTTCAAATATGAACACGTGGCGATACCCGAGAAGGATCCTCCGCATAGAGCATCCAGTCCCGAGAAGGATCCTCCGCATAGAGCATCCAGTCCCGAGAAGGATCCTACGCATATAGAGCACCCAGTCCCGAGAAGGATCCTCCGCATATAGAGCACCCAGTCCCGAGAAGGATCCTCCACATAGAGCACCCAGTCCCGAGAAGGATCCTCCACATAGAGCACCCAGTCCCGAGAAGGATCCTCAGCATAGAGCACCCAGTCCCAAGAAGGATCCTCTGCATAGAGCACCCAGTCCCGAGAAGGATCCTCAGCATAGAGCACCCAGTCCCAAGAAGGATCCTCTGCATAGAGCACCCAGTCCCAAGAAGGATCCTCCACATAGAGCACCCTCTGGGAAGCTCAAACATCATCGTCGTCGTCGTCACTGGCGCTCATGTCAGGTCTCCAGAAGTCCTGCGGTGTGTTGGGGAGCAGCTTGTGCTTACTGCGATGCTTCGAGCAGCGGTTCATGTGCATCTGTCAACAGGTTTACATCTATTAAATAAAGGCAACAGTCTTGAAATACTCAAAGTGGTTATGAGTTGCGAATATTTGACATGCAAACTCTTGCATGTAACTGACGTAGTAACGTCTACACTGCAATAAATAACCCATTATTAGATTATCTATTCTCCTCAGTTCAACGATCAGTGATTATTTTATTAAATGACTTGAAGAAACTTTGATCTTTGAGATCTTAAGCATAATGATTTAATATATTACTAAACAAAGACCGTTCCAAATCGCCGGAGTGAAGTTGATGTGAACTTAACGAAGAGCTGCATAGATAGCAGAAACGAAATAATTGCACTGAGTGGCCGCCTATATGCCGCCTTTGATTTAAATAATTTTGTTCAGGGAAAGAAAGAAAGGACTGTAAACATTCAATCTGCAGTAAAGAATTGCCCTATACCTAGATAGCTTGATGTTGAATAGATACATAGATAGCTTGATGTTTAATAGATACATAGATAGCTTGATGTTGAATTGATACATAGATAGCTTGATGTTGAATAGATACATAGATAGCTTGATGTTGAATAGAAGTCCCACTTTCATTTGCAGGATTTATCAAGCGCATCAGATGCGTAATTCAATTTGAAGTGCAGTCAAGACTTTCAGGGTGCGGCAAGGAAAATGTTCAAGTCATAAATTAGTACGTTTCGACGCATACCTCAACATTAACACAAGCTAATGTGCTGCGTGGTTCTGGGTGATCTCTGGATTGGACAGATTACATCTGTAGTCCTTTTTGAGGGAATAAATATTTAACTGAATTTAATTATACAAATGACAAATGAATAAGATGGTAAAATTCAACCGTCTTGGTTATTCCTGAACTGAAAGAAATATTATAATGTCTAAGACCTAACTAGTACTGTAATATTGTAATAGTACTGTAATATTAAAATGTCTAAGTCCTAACTAGTACTGTAATATAATGTCTAAGACGTAACTAGATAAAGGCAAGACAGACCGCCAGCTCCTGAGATGAGAGGTTGCGGCCCTCGTAGTACTGCTGGCACTGGGCGCACGACCAGCCAGGCAGCTGACGACGCTGTGCCCTACGACGCTCCACGGCGCCCTGGTGCGCGTACGACGGCGAGGCTGTGGTCCGCGGCACGCGGTCGAAGCTGCCATAAAAGGTGCAAGTGTCACAACAACATTACACACATGTTTTAGTTACACACAGGTTTTAATACAAACAATAAGCCTCTTTACTGAATGAAATATTATGTTACCACAGAGAGTCTAGAAGACAGGCGTCCTGTTGTTCTCGTCTTGCCTGCCGTCTCCCGAGGTAACAACGAGGCTTCATTATTCGTTGCTGATGAGCTAACAACGCGACATTCTTTCTGTAGCAGAACGTTGCAAGGTCTGCTACCAGAAGACGAGTGTCCAGGGCCAGGTTTGGAAATTGAAGCACCTGCGCTCAAGAACTTTTTTCCTGACGAGTTTGTCTGAGTTTCAAGCTGCACCTCGCCAGTTCCTGCAACACTTCCTTCAGCGGGACTATTCTCAACTGTAATTTGATGTTGACTTGGTAGCTGCAAGTATTCCAGAGACTGGCTCTCAGTTAGCAGACTACAGCTGCTCGGCAGCTCCTGTCCTGAGTTAGAGAGTTTCTTCTCTTGATGTGAAGAGCTTTTGAACTTCTTGGCAAATTCTGCACCTTCTGCTAATGCTGTGTAAGGAAACAAAGCAATAATTCTGTTAAAAATGATTGACAAGAAATAAAAAACGGAGGGAGTGCCAAACAATGTCACAATAAAAAAGGAGCAACCTTATGTTAAGTTGCCAAGATTTCATATTTAAATAGGTATTTAAAATATTTAATATTTAAATATTAAAAATATTATTTAATATTAATATTAATATTAAATATTTGAAATCTTAAATATTTTTAAAAAATATTTAATATTTCATATTTAAAATATTTATTAAGTTGCTAGCAACTAGGTTTAGCCTAGGTATTCTTATTTCTTGCTAGATTCAGTTAACACCAAGTGAGAATGAATGATCATTTATGTGCAGGATAATACAGCACTCACCAACATATGCCAAACAATAGAATGTGTAATGGCAATGATTAGCATTGATGACTCAAGATATCAAAGAGAATAACAGGCTTTAAGTAAATGGATGAGACTTGCCATCACTCGTGCGCTTAGTTGATGAGTGAGCCACATCACCAGCAGGAGCAGAAGCGCCCTGTGAGGTAATTTGCATTACTCTGCTGCAGTGAAAAATGGGCACTGACAAATGAAAGCATTTAGTTACAACAAACAAGAGAAGAATAGGCAATGAAAAATGAAAGGCAATGACAAATGAAAGCATTTAGTTAGGTAAACAAATATTGATCATATCTAGAAATTTAGATTGAATCATTAACAGTGAATTTGATTGAATTACTATGCCCCATGAATCAACTCTAAAATTAAGGTCAGCAGATACAAACATTTCTGGACCTGCAGATCTGATTAGTTATGTGTCAGCATACAAGTGTTTCTGTGTCAGCATACAAGCGTTTCTGTGTCAGCATACGAGTGATTCTGTGTCAGCATACGAGTGTTTCTGTGTCAGCATACGAGTGTTTCTGTGTCAGCATACGAGTGTTTCCGTGTCAGCATACGAGTGTTTCTGTGTCAGCATACGAGTGTTTCTGTGTCAGCATACGAGTGTTTCTGTGTCAGCATACAAGTGTTTTTGTGTCAGCATACGAGTGTTTCCGTGTCAGCATACGAGTGTTTTTGTGTCAGCATACAAGTGTTTTTGTGTCATGTGTCAGCATACGAGTGTTTCTGTGTCAGCATACGAGTGTTTCTGTGTCAGCATATGAGTGTTTCTATGTCCTTGGATACAAATATCCCAGCAGTCTGACATAACCATGATATGCTAACAAGGGCCACTACCAGCCCTAACAAAAGTACCTGCGGTGGCAACAGTCTGTGGCAAGTCAGGGCCCGCAGCGCCGGGTGCTGCTGCTGCACGCGTTTCCTGTCGTCTACAGTTTTTGTTTCAAGACTCCTTGCCTTGGCCTCCAAGATTTGAATGTCATCTTCTTCTGTTACGAAATAATGTTTGTGAGAAATATGTGACGAGTGAAAATTTTAAATAAATTACTCTATGAAAATAATACAAATAACAATGCAAAGTAAACAGCAGAGCAAGAAGGTTTACTCTGACAATGAAGGGACCTTAAATTTATTGAGTTTAATTTTAAATTATTATTTTAGCAACATTCAGGCAAGGTTTTACTTGATAAGCAATCTTTATAATTTAGACCTATTTTTACAGTTTACCTCAGGTTTATTTTTAAATCTCCTAGAAGGTTCAGTTTTACATCTGAAAACTTTGAAATCAAAACAAAATTGATACAAAAGTGGTAATGTCATAACATCACCTATACCAAGAGAGAGTATATATATAGGTACCTTGCCAACTTGCCTATACTAAGAGAGAGTAACTAGATATATGAATTATAGAATTGAAGTTCAATTTTTTAATATACATAAAGTTTTACTCGCAGTCTAAAAGAGAAACCAATCATCTTGTATCAATTGCAATAGTATTGGTCCTATTTCTTCAGCGCCAACACTTCTGTTCTCCAGCAGCGACAGCAGAAACTCTCAGTGATGTCAAATATATATTTATTGGTTCACTTTCATGCAATATTAGTGTTCATTGTGTATATGTTAGACATAGTACATATGTATACATTAGTAAAAGCAAAAAAATAATAACTGAGGAAGCTTGCTCCTTAATTTTGCAATAATAACTTATTATTATTATTCATAATAATATTATCATAATTATTCATAATATTATCTACCTAATTAATTCTAAGAGTTTCCTAAATGGGCTGAGGATTTCAGAAATTCTTTATTAAATTTATTGATAAATGATATCACCTATGATCAAGTGTGGTTAGGTGGTGTTTAGTTTGCTCTACACCAAAACATGTTAAAAATTAAATCAGTTCACATTAATTTAATAGAAAAATCAACAAGCAAGCTTGACATCATCCAATAATGCTAGTCATCCACTCAAATTAGGAGAGAAGTATTGACACTGCCAGTAGTGACACTGCCAGTAGTGACACTGCCAGTAGTGACACTGCCAGTAGTGACACTGCTACACTGCTAAGTACAGCACACCTCGAGAATAAGTTATTAACCTGCATTTCCTCTGACTTTGGAGACAATGAAGCTTTCTTTTGTAAGTTTAGTCTGTATGCAGTTTTTCTTGATGGAAGCTTCAACAGAATTAAGCGGCTTCTTCCAATTGCAGTTGCTGCTGTAGGCTCGAGTGAGGCGGCTTCTTTTGATGACTGAGCAGTTTGATGCTTTTCTTACACACATTTTTTTGTGTATCACATTTTGTTCTTGTTTGGAAGTTTCAATTTGATTTCTAATGACATCATCTGATCTTTTTGCTTCTTCCTTTGACTTTGATGAATCATAAGAAACAAATGACAACTCTGAGCTTGAATTAAGAACTGAGTTTATAAGTTGTCCTTCATTTTCACTGGCACCTGCATCAAGATCAGTAATTTGGCTAATTTGATCACAAATGCTATTATTTTCAGAAACATTTTCTTTAGAACACAAGTTTTGGGAACCCAATTCTTCAAAACTTGCTTGAAATAAAGATCTTTTTGAAGAGCAGTTTTTAGACTTGATGCAAGAATCAGTGTCTGAACTATTTAGACTTGTTTGTTGATCATAATTAACAGATTCCACAGAGGCAGGCTGAGTCTTTTCCCTTTCAATTGCAGGCCGTGACTCAAACAAACTCTCATTTTCAGTGGCCAAAATATCTCCAGGAATAATTTCTCTATTGCCAGCAGTAGTTGCAACCTTAGATTTTGGAGATGAGTAAATAATTTCAGCCGCAGTTTTATTGTTCATTGCTTCTCTAGGAATTATATTTCTTTTACAGGGAAGCAATTGAAGAAGTGACGGAGAGCCACTAATGTCCATGCCACGTCTAGGAGACAATGTACAGCAGCTGTTCTGACCAGGGGAAACTGAGAGAAGTTCATTTTTCCTGTCATTGATAATACATCCTCCAGCACATGGTAAACTTTTTAAATTGTTTTCAAAACCATTAGAGCTTGAAGAACTAATGAATGTTGGAGAATTTCGGCTTGAACTGAATTTCCCCAACACTGGACTTGTTTTTGCAGGTACTATTGTGTATTGAGATAAGCCATCAACATCCTCTGAGGACTCCTCAAAAATGTCACTGCTATCCTCACTGCAAGGATCTGAAACTGCCACATCGATGGCATCCATTGTCTCTGCAATGTGCCCACCATTATCTGAAATAATTGATTCTACTATATCAATGTCTTGTGTTTCAGGAGCATATATGGTTTCAAAAATTTTGCCACCCTTGAATTTTGGTAACCTCTTGAGAGCTGTCAAACTTGCATTGCAGGACGGATGTTTGACTCCACCTTCCAGTTGATTTTCTTTTGTGGAAGAGCACACGTTTTGCTTTGTTTTTTCACCCAGAATTGTGGAACTACAAGAAGTTGAGAGATCAGACTGTTGCTCACTACTCAGAGACGTGGCCACAGTACCACAAGAGATCTGTAGACTGGAGTCTTTATCTTTTTCCATGATCAGCCGAGTCTTACCAGAGCACTCAGGACAAAGCTCACTTACTAAATTGTTCAACTTTGTTTGCTTATTTTGTAAGCTAATCCTAGCCTCCTTGTGCTGGGTTTGCAGATCTAGGGAAGAAGATTAAGAAATGATACAGTAAATACACTTCAGTTCTAAATTAGTATTATTAAAGCCTTAAATATTTAATCACAATGTCCAGCATTCTAACATAAACCTCTGATGCTCTACTAATACCTCCACAACTATATAATGCTGAGGTAGAAGGCCTGAGTATGGAAGGCTATCTTGTGACATAATAATTGGTCATAACTATTGCATACAAATTTTATTCAGCAATTAAGACTTTAATGGGACATTTGATACATATACATGCAGAATGGACATAACATACCTCTGAACATGACAAATAATGTCTTCAGCAGAATTGTTGGACCATCATTACATTTTGAGGGAATGCTTGTGCTAAGGAGACTCTTGTGGAGTTGATGATTGTCTGAGAGCTCATGGAAGAATGTAGCAAATGGATTGGATCCTTTTTTGGTATGAATTTCCAAGTCACTCATTGTGCAATAAGAAAAGCTGAAACAAATTCAACAGCTGATTAAACAACTTTCATGCATTATCAGTCAATAAAAGCTGAAATTTCACAATCATTCAAGCATGTTTAAAGTATGTTGGATGCAAATGCAAATACCAGTTGAATTTAGATCTTTTATACAGAGTACCGTCAACCAGGGCTACTCGGGACAGATTTGAACGATTAGTTTTAAATAACAGTTAATAACTTCTTATTGCACAACAATATTGATAAACCAGGGATGATCGCATATGAACAGGGAGCATATCTTTATATCTAAAGAAAGAACCGATTGTGAAATTGTTTACCAGCACAATATGAAGATTGACATTTGGGAAGTATCTATTGAAAAAGACTTTTAATTCTTTTGACATAGCTGTTGTTTCTTTATTTTATGAATTATTTATATGAAATATATCAACTGGACAAAAAAGTCATTAGTACATTAATACATTGAGGGGTTTTTAGATTTGATTAAAATTTCATGGTAATGCAGGATATTAAATCTTTTTGGAATATCTGAATTTCTCAAAGGTATTCTTATATTATTTTACATTATTACATAGGTATTATATTTCTATCATAAATTTGAAATGCTTAAATGGAGTTTTGACAAGTGATTGAGTTTAAAAAGGCTTTTTAAGCTGTATATCTAATGATTAAAATTATAAGAGTAGGCAAGATGCAAGAAATTAGGCAAGGGCCATAGCCTAGGAAATAAGAGATAGCCTAAGTGAAATTTTCAACAAGGACTGGTCACTGGTGGTGGCATTTTCATCTCATTCTTCTGACTCATTCTGGCTGACATCTCATTCTGGCTGACTTCTGCCAAATTTTCCTGTTTAGAGAGAAATTATAATTGTACAATAGTACATGCCAATTTGGAAGATCAGGCATAATTGTCCTAATATTTCATATTAAGTTCTTTTTAAAGTTTTTTTTTTTATTTTGTTGGCAAAAATATGCCAATTTACATAATTTTAACTTGAATTTTAACTAAATAAATTCATCAAGGGCCATTGAAAATGGTGAAATCAACAGTAATTCAGTTCATCAGCATAGGATTTTTTGTCTCAAATTCTTGTAATCGTGTTCATGTGTTGTTTTGAGGCTGGGTTTTGGCTCAATTTTCCAGTTTGGTTTGCACCTGCAACTTCTGCAAGGCCCAACCTAACATTTTCTGGGTTAAATTAAAAATGGAATAATTGCTAAAAATAATAAATAGGTATTAAGCTAATGAAATTTTTATTTTATTTAGACAATTGAAAAACTTCAGTGCTGTTTTGAAAATGCAATATTTTCCAAATTGTATTTTAGATTGGAATTTTCCACTAATGAATATTTTGAGGCTCCAACTCAGTACCTAACTCTTAATAATATAGGGGTAAACGCGGTATATTCCAACATCGTAGGTAATTCCGTCACCTCTCCAGCTTTTCCTTTATATTAAGCTTTGTTTTAGTTACATGCGTTCATTGATGGTTGAAATGGTGACGTCATTACGTTCCGGAAGGCAGGAATCATAATGGTCCATTACATCCTGGGCAGTAGTGGTCTTCGGCAGGCGACCCATGTGGCGAAGTTTTTGACATGTTGGCATTGACGGTAGAATATTTATAGTCGGAAGATGAAAAAATTTAAACTCATTTCTGCGGTATATAGATGATGTGGTCCTTGCAAGACTAATCTAAATATTAAAAGTCAATACTATAAATTTATCACAACTTTTGAATGCGCAGGAAAATAATATATTGCCTATCATTACTTGCATAGGAAATAAAATTTATTTGTTCAAAGTGAAATCTTGAAGTGACTCACACAAGAAGGCTGAATATATCGAGAAGCTGTGCTGTAACCTAAAAAAATAGTGCTAAATGTACTGCTCTTTAGAAGTGAAAACTATACTCGATTATACGCTCTGTCAGCTCTGCCGTCCGTGGTTCTTGATTAATACGAGTCGGCAATTGGATATAGTCCCATGGTTCAATCAAAGTGTAGCCCAGATTAGGCGGCACTCGCTAGTGTTGCCACCTAAACCGAAGTGTTGACACAGTTTCGTGTCAAAATTTGAGTGTACACGTCTTGGGCAAAACTGCATTTGGGTGCACTCGTCTTGGATAAAATTGAAGGACCAAATTATCATAAAAAAACGAGAGTTACATTTTTCATAAAAAAGGCCCAAAACGGATGAAAAGGCCAAATCAAATTTTTCAGGCCAATGCATTTAAAAAAGGCCACATTTGCGAAATTTGGCCTGAAAAAGGCCCATCTGGCAACACTGGTCTCAGGCTCAAGACTACAGCGCGTATCGCCGGATTTCGTGAGTATTTCGTAACATACCGTCCTCCGAATGTTTCCGTAGGCTTTCCCTTCAACAAGAAAAATCTAAATAAATGTGCGTTTGAGATACTAAATAGCTATACAATATAACTACTTTGAAAGGAGTAAGTTTTTTCATAACTGAATTTTATTTGCAGCAAGTTCTCAACGAAAACTTTACCTCAGTAAAATTTTCATTCATTAAAATTAATTACAGTTCATTGAAATTAATTAGATAGATTATATATTTTGCTTAATTTCTGAATAAATTTGCACAGATTAACATAATGTGCAATTTATTGATATTTTTTATATAAAATCAATGTTAAAAGGAATCGAGAAATTCTTGGGTGAAAATGTTTCCCGCAGAGTCCATTAGAGAATTGAGAAAGTGAGCAGCACTCAGCTTGTATTTCTCCCTAGTTATGACCAAAAATAGTTGTCGTCTGGGAATAAACAGCAAAAATATCGTGAGAAACTAAGCTTAAAATAAACTTTTGTTTCAAGGTGTAGAGTCTTTCCAGTTTACCAAATTCGGTGGCGTGTGTGCGGTGTGTCTTCACAATTAGTGTTACTTCACCATCTGACGATCAAAATTGGCTTGGCAAGTTGGCACAAAAACGTGAATACGACTTTACGAGCTCATTTCAGTGCGTCCACGCTGACGAAGCGCAGTCCTAAGGTATTATAATAAGACGATTGAAAATCAACAAGAGTCTGATTATTGACTTTCAAACTGCGTTGTAGATAGTTAGGACTAACATAGAAAGAAGATGTAGGTCAAAAATATGCCGCAAAATTTTGTTAGCACACCATTTTTGCTTCACTTTCGAAGCATTATTGTCATTTGACTTGTCATTCTTTTCAATTAACTGACTATCATAATTGAAACACGGCACCTGATGCGTATTTTGTACGACAGTACGACTACCTACGAAAATTTTTTACTATTTCTCATTTTTTAAGATAATATGTGTTGTTTATTTAAAGACACGATGATGAGCTTGTCCCCTATTTTTCTCGATGGACCACAAGCAGCAACGACAGAAACTCCGGCGTTATTTGATCTTCGGTAAAACTTTCCAAAGTTAGGACGGGCTCAATTTTAGCAGTAAACATTTTACTGTCGATGTAGTTTATTGATAATTATTTACGCCTCTTTCTTCTAAGAGTATTCTAAATTTTACTTCCATAACTTTAAACAGAAGAAAAACGCCAGAACATTACTATCGGCTAAAATTAGTGTTACTATCGGCTAACATTTGCCTTGGATTAAACTGGAAGCACTGAAATCTTCTCATTTCAGCCAAGTGACTACTGTGACGGACGACGGTAACCCGAGGAAAGCAAAAATAAACAATCTTGTTTCTTCACTATTTACTGCAGGAAGGTTCAACTTTAAATCTACGAATAAAAATACGAATGGAATATTTGAATGATTAAATACCAAAATGATACGAGTGAAATATTTTAGATGGGATAATTCTAGTGAACCTGTGATCGATATCATGACGCTAGCATGGTCGAAAACTATTTTTTAATTCCACAACATAACAGAGTAAGCTCACATTACTCATTACACAGCTAAAAATGCTACCGAGGCCTAATAAATGACGCTAACACGTGCATTAAAAAGTCATCTAATGAGTCTGGATTCAGGCCTTAACCTTACGCGCAACACAATCTTGCGAAACGCGAGATTGTGAAACGCTAGAGTATCCTAGCTTCGCGGAAGCAGAGTTTGTCGGATGGTTTCCTATAAAATCGGAGCACTAAACACAATAAATAATGATATTATAACTAGCGTATACGCGAAAAACATTAGCCGCTAATACTATCGGCTATTATTAGCCGCTAATACTATCGGCTATTATTAACCACTAATACTGTCGGCTAATATTAGCCGCTAATACCATCGGCTATTATTATCTCCCTGTACAGGCGCCTTCACTGTGGTCGGAGTTGAGGTGTTCTAGATGCTGTCATTAGCTGCTGGATATTAACGAACTTGACATAGTTTGTGAGGCAATAGTTTGACGACTCTAAATAGTAACGTTTATGGAAATGAGTGCTGGGAGTGACTGGCAGCAGAGTGCGCTGTTGTGGCTGCAGGAGAGCGGCGTGCTGGTTGCCGTGGAACGCGCGATGAGGGAGAGGAGTGCCCAGGCGAGACCTGCTGTGGTGTTGAGCATCACACTTCCTCTGGACCTGACGCTACTGCACCATATCAGCCGTGAGTACTGCACACCACCAGTCGTAAATACTGCACCATATCAGCCGTGAGTACTGCACACCACCAGTCGTAAATACTGCACCATATCAGCCGTGAGTACTGCACACCACCAGTCGTAAATACTGCACCATATCAGCCGTGAGTACTGCACACCACCAGTCGTAAATACTGCACCATATCAGCCGTGAGTACTGCACATTACCCGTCGTGATTAATGCATCACATCTGTACTGGGGATCGCAGTAGTCATAAATTAAGAACATATATAAATTGTAAACGAATCCCGCCTGGCTCCATTACTTTGCTGAGCGCAAATTACCTTATTTTCTACAGCCGACTTGGCGGACATGGTGTTCTGGGAGCCGCTGAGAGCCATGCGCAACTTCCAGAAGATCATCCACGCCTGCTGCGTCGCGTACGCCCTTAACGCGCCCTCCTGCAGCAGCACGCGGTGCCTGCCCGTACAGGACTTGCCCTCCCAGGACCGCCTCTCGCAGCACCTCCCTTGGCGACGTCCTGACACAGGCGTAGGAGACACAGCGACGCTGTCTCCAGACGACCGTGACCTCGCAGGCATCAGCATTTATGTGCCAGGCGCTCAAAATGACCCCCCGAAGACTGTGAGTGAGCCAGACTTTGGCTTGAAGTTGGCGGAATCACTCGACCTGTTCGACCAAGATGAGTCCATGTTTGAGGACGAGGCGGGCAGCGACCCACAAAGAAACTATAAACTGAAGACCTCCAACACTAGTACCTCTGATACCCTTGGGCAGCGAGATATGGACGGCATGATGGACGAGACGTGGAGCGTGGACGGGCGGATGGACAAGACACAGGGCGTGGACAGCATGATGGACGAGACTCGGGGCGTGGACATCATTATGGACGAGACGTGGGGCGTGGACGGACTGATGGACGATACACAAGGCGTGGACGGGCAGATGGACGAGACTCGGGCTGAGGATTTGGACGCGACGTTGACGTCGCTAGCGTCACACAAGCCCATTGCTAACGAGCCAGCGCTGCTGCTCACCGAAGCTCAGGTGAGCTCACGGCTGGGAACAGTCTGGCGATGTTCAAATAAAGGGATGGTATTATTGGCGCACTTTATATTATATAACAAGAGTATAACACCTTTTTAATCCTAAGAGATTTCAATGATCTTTTCTTTAATCTTTAATCTTTTCAATCCTAAGACATTTCGCGCGATGTAACAAGATATGCGCGTTAAGGAGAGCGTGGCCCCACACGATGGTATGAGGTATGAGGATGAGGATGGTCTGGTATGAGGTATGAGGATATCGACTCGGAGCTTACACACGCATCTACATCATCATTTGCGAACGTTAAAGAGTGCTGATGAAGATCACAGATGACCTAGACTGCGAGAAGTTACAGGATGACCTATCGTCAATCTACGATTGGGCCCTAGTGAACAATATGCAGTTCAACGGCACCAAGTTCGAAGTAATGAGATACAGAGTCCGCACAGAGATCGGGATGCCACATCGCTACTTGGCATCAGATGGCACAGAAATTGAGGAGAAGCAACTAGTTCGAGATCTCGTCCAATGATTACACTCTTCAGAGCCCTCGTGCTCTCCAATTTTGAATACTGCTGCTAGCTTTGGGCACCGCTCTGGGTGGGCGCGCTGCGGAACTTTAGTCAGTTAGCGGACCTTCACGTCTAGGATCAGCTGCATGTATGAGGGAACTTGAGCTGTATTACTGGGACAGGCTGAAACACCTGGGACTGTACCCAAAGGAGAGGAGAAGAGAAAGGTATATTATATTGTACACTTGGAAGATGAAAACCGTACTGGCTCCCAATTATGAGAGTGAGACCTCTAGAATAATGACATGTTATAACGAAAGGAGGGGGAGGCTGTGCAGGATTCCTTATGACTTTATGATGAGTTTAGGACTTCGTAGTCCCCGATCACGCTGATGCGCCGCCTTCGTCGTCCTCCGTCTCCGAGTCGTCACTAGGCAGGTCACCCCGCCCTCGGGTCCCGGATGTAACGTTGGCCGTATTCCGTATATTTGCCCTCCTTTGGGCCAGCTGATGCAAGATGCTGTTCCCCCATTTAACGGTCCCCCCACACGTTGGCATGAGACAGCGCATGATCCCACAGGTACTGGTGCGCATGCGCGTGACGGGGGCGCCGCCTGAGCGGCCATGGCGCGTGTGGACGGCACAACAGGCGCGACAGGGACGACAGGGACGACAGGCCGCCCCTCGCCTGGTGCTGCTGCTGTGCAGGGTGATGGGCGTCTCGGTGCCGCCCCAGCCTTACACGTGAGGGCGTTGAGCGCTTACGATGATTAATTGCCTGGGAATGTTGAGGTATCAATTATAATGAATATCAAATGAAATGCTGAGAAAATAAATAATTGCCTAGGAATGTTGAGGTATCAATTAATGAATATCAAATGAATTGCTGAGAAAATAATGAAAATGATAAATTTTCGTGGTGACATAACGTGCTGACGTGTTGACACGTCACACATGGCGCCCGTGTCAGGAGGTGGGCGCGGTATCGCTGCAGACGAGGGCGGCGGTGCGTGGGCGCGTCCCGCGACCTGCACGTCGTCACGGCGCCTCACGCCGCCCCCCCACACGTCTGCACGTCAGTGGTGACTACACTGCCTCGTCTCTGTGGCGTGTGTGGCGTGTGTGGGACTCATCTGTGGCTAGTGTGGCTAGTGTGTCTCATGTGGCTAGTGTGTCTCATGTGTGGCTCATGTGGCTAGTGTGTAACTTATGTGGCTAGTGTGGCTAGTGTGTCTCATGTGTGGCTCATGTGGCTAGTGTGTAACTTATGTGGCTAGTGTGTCTCATGTGTGGCTCATGTGGCTNCACATTTATATGTTGTTGATGTGCATACTTCTTTGGAATGGTTTCCTGCGCAGAGCAGGCAGCGCACGGGTGCTGTGCATCCACTGGAGAGGTGTCTTGGTTTTTGACATCTGTAGCATCTGAGTGGGGGTGGGTTGTAGACTCTAACTTTGTATGCAATGAAGCCAAAGAGGACTTTTTCTGGGAGTTGCTTTCCTTCAAAATCCACTTTTAGGACCATGGACTCTTCTTTCAGTGATCCAGAAAATTTTGGCAGTCTAGTTATCTTGACTATTTTGCAGGGTTGTTTCTGTAGGTCTAAGAGCTCTTCTAGGTTGACGTCCAGACCCACTGGTCCAATGACACCCGAGCACGAGTTGATAAGATCCAAAGTTGGTCTGTAACATTTTACTTGCCAGTTCCCAAGTTTGGTTATTGAAAGGAGTTTTTCTTCTTCCTGTTTTTCAGAGGGTTTGAATTCCACTGCAACAATATTGCGCCTCTTGTTAATGCGGACATCATGGATTGAGGAATCATGGATTACTTTTTGTAGTTCTCTTGCCACTGAGATGGGGTCCAATGAGATTTTTCTTGTGTCCGGAGACAGTTGTTTGATTATCACTGTGTTGTTGTTTCCAGATGATTTATCAGTTGCATTGGTTGGAAATGATTTGTATTGAGTTCGTTTGGCAGACAATCTAGGAGCTTTAATGGTGTTAGCGTTAGCAGGAGTAGCTGTTGGTTGGATCAAGCTGTCTGATTCTTGTTCAGATTCAGTGCCGATCTGCCGTTTGTGCCTTCTGGTATTAGGGGACCCTTCTTGTACGTCCATGCTTGACCTAGTTCTAGTTGTTCCATTATTTTCTAGCACCTTAGTCTTGGGTCGATGGCCAGTGATGTCTTCATCCGAAGATGCTTGGAGTCCAGATTGCCGGAGAGGGCCAGCAGGATCTTGTGTCGGAGTTTCCGGGACAATGTTCTCATCATCGCTGTTAGGCATGTCAGACTCTGACTCTGCCATTATCATTATGCATTTATTACCTTCAATAACAATTCACAAGTAGCAACTTACACAGTTATACAAAAAAAAAATATTGAATAAATGCTAATATAAATAATAAATATAATGGAGCAAATAGTTAAAGAAAAATTTATATAAATTTTTTTTCCAATAGTGGTACAGAGATGAAATATAGGCTAATATGAATAGAAAAAGTTTACGCAGCAAATGGTACAGCATAAATAAAGTCAAAATAATATTGATGTTGACAGCGCCCAGCGGCACAGCCTACCTAGTTATATTACCAAATTCCAAACCTCAATTCAAAACTATGCAGGAATCCTAACTGATTGGACTCGAAACACAAAATATACACTTGACACACTACACAGTATATGTAAAGATGTAAATGCAAATAAAAAAATAAATAAATAAATCACATTGACAAGTTGTTTAATGATGCAGCCATGATTTCATGAAAAATAATATAACTTTAATATGCAAGAGATGATAATAGTGAACTAAAATGATGGGATTTTAACTACCGTACCTAAATTCAAACCTTGGCTGGCCCACAAACCTACTCCTACCTACTACCTCTTCTCATGGAGAGAAGAGGAGGGGGGAGGGGCGAGAAAGCCAGCCGGGTTCTTGACTCTGGACAGGACCCTCACTAAATATACTCGAGGTATATATAGAAGTATAGTCCAAGATCAAGTTAAACGTGAATTATCAATTATTATTTGCCGGTTAACTTTACGCAATCAAGGGAGATAGACACTAGAGATGTTCACTCGATGAACGCAGCTGACTCTCTCCAACGAAGACGGCTGTTTTGATGCGGAAGATGGACGAAGTTTTATTTAACGGATTTGCTATCCATCATAGCGGATACGAAATTCTGCAAACTCACTGAATAACCATCCAAAATATGTCCAATTGAATAGCTGTTTTCATGAATAGAGTAACTTAATCACAATGAACAATTTTCATTTGGAAGGTTAAATCAGAATTAAAATGTAGTTGAAGTTGTAATAGTACCGTCTTCATTATTCTTTTCAACTGTTTAGTCGACTATAATGCTCAATCTGAATGTCCATCGAAGGCTCGAAGCTATAAAGCAGAGCGAACTACAAAAAATTAGAATTTAATGGTTTCTATTTCCTTCTGCGTAACACATTCATTTTATAATAGTAAATAGTTACGTTTTCGATAGGGTGCCATGATTTTAAAGGAATTATCCGCCGTGCAAAAACCTAATACAAGTCCAAAACTTTTATGTGTAAGTTCAGCGTCGAATATGCGAGTACCGAACTGTTTTCATGTGTATATTAATAAATACAATATAAAGCCAGACTGTGACGCACCTGTCATTCAGAACGACGTCTCGGACAAATTTATGGCGCGTTGTTTGTTGCTGGTAGTTGTTCGCTGTACGTAAGTTAATTAAGTACTAGGCTATTCAGAGTGTTTCGTCGTACTTTAAACAAATTTCGTTCCTACTGGAGGTTTTCTTCAAAAAATCTATACTGGGACCAATCGTACATTCAACAAGAAGTATCATGAATGAGCTCAATCAAATACAAGAAATATTCCCAACTTTTATTTCGCGAATTGAATAGGTGATCTATCAGAATACAAACTTCCAACGTTTCTCGACACTTGGAGACGATCAAATATTTTCTCATAGAACATGATCATTTTATAAAAAATAAGCTTCATTTAAGAAATAAGTAATATATTTCAGCTCTCATGCGCTGCTAAATTCGCCTCCCATGCAAATAATGAAAATTATAGAAAGGAGTTGCGTTATGACGAACATGGCTGCGAAACATACCACAATTATATTTCCCCAGAGCGTTGAAATTTGTTTTTAAATATTAAATACCCCTATAATTAGCATTAATGGTCAGGGTTGCCGACTGGTATATGAACAACTTGACTGATACCACCAAAAAAAAATTCGAATCGATTTTACATTATGCAAGCATGTTTAACCAATAAATGTGCCAGAACATCGATATGCATGTCGTGCTCAAATTTATGATGTGCGATAGAATTCATCGGCATATGATTCACAACAAGGAGAAAAATGTATATATAGCCCAAAAATTGGCAAAATCAAGTTACAATCGAGGGCGAAATTCATTGCGAAATTAGTGGTTGACTAGTACATTATTATATTAAAGAATACATATCACAAAAGAATATAGATGAATAGAGTACATTCCAATCAGGTCTCTTATTTATGGAACGTAAAAACTTTGTCCAAACTCAGGAAGCAAAGTGATATGCCCATGATCGTGTAAATGGGCATGGGCGTATTTATCCATCATCGTTAAACAGTCAACTATTGAAGAGATCCAAACGCTCCACTACAAAATGATTTTAAAATACTCCTGCGAGACATGATGCTGCAAGCGTGTTGTTTAATTTTCTGTTCTTTGTTGATTTCTGTGTGAATTGCAAAGTATGTCCCGAGAAATTTATTAACTATTTCATCACAACTTATAATTTATAGCAAATGTCTAGATTTTTACTTTTAATATATATATTGATAGCGGTTTCAGTTTTTAGTAGGCCGTAGGCATGTCGCCGATTCTTACAATTGCAGAACATTCACAGCTTATTGCAGGTTTCGAACACGCATCTCACTGCTCCAATTCTGCTCTGCTTAACCGTCCGGCCTCCTCGCCGATTCCAGAACTGTAGCAGGTAGCTGAGATCGAACCCGCACCTTTCTGCTCCAATCTTGGTACTCTGAACTGTAACCATTGGACCGCCCTGTGACCTCATTGACCAAGGATGATGCCCGACACAATTTTACATAAATATTGAATCAGGTTTGAATTTCTGCCAAATGGGTACAGCCCAAAATATGATGGAGAACACCACATAGGAGCTGATCACGAGACGGAAGGCCCATTTATCAATTTTCTTCGGTGTCGCGTAAGGGTCACGGAACACGGCGGGTTGGTGGCATTTGGCCTCAGTCGCAGAATTTCGCGGAGCATTTTCTGCACCGGCGGAACGTTCGACGTCCGTTGATGCTGCAGAACGCAGAACGGATGCGTTCTCAACCGGATACTCTTCTAATTTTTTGCTGGCCATTTCCGACGGATTGCTGTATTCGTGGAAATATTCGATGATCACATGGGTCGTAATGATAACGAAACAATAGATGATGGAAACGAGAAACCAAATGTCAACGAGCTTCAGGTAGGAGGTTTCAGGCAAGGTGGTGCTGACTTGAGAGAAGAACGTTGACAGAACTAGAAGAGAAGTCAGAGAAATAACCATCCTGTTTTGAAAATCAAACCACTTGTAGAAGAAGGTCGCGAAACCAATGGTGTTGATCAGAGTTGTTGGCACGAATATCGTCATGATCTGAAAAAATAAGTTTAATTTTAATTGTTTTGGAAGAACATTTTAAGCGAAAATTTGAAAAGCAAAAAATATAAGTTAGAAAGTATAAAGCGTGTTCGAGGAACAAGCGTAAATAATTTATTATTTAAAATCCTTGTGATCCGAACTATTATTGACCTGAATTTCAAGCCCAAGTGAGCATTTGAAATGCGTGAAGAAAAATTTCAGACGCAGTTATTTTTCAATGTAATTTATTGTACAAAATTCGAAATAAAAGAGCCACAGCTTTCATTGTCGGCATAGTTTGTCGTACCTCATTTCGTTAATTGTGTTTAAAACAGGCTCAACGTGAATAGATGTTGGCACCTTGTTGGTTACCTCACTTACCTCGTTGGTTACCTCACTTACCTCGTTGGTTACCTCACTTACCTCGTTGGTTACCTCACTTACCTCGTTGGTTACCTCACTTACCTCGTTGGCAAAGAGATGCTCCATTTTGATGGTCGCGGTAACGCTGCTGTACAGCTCCGGATTTTCGTTCTCCTCAAACGAAATGTCGGAAATCTTGTACTTCGGTAGCTGATCTGCGTACTGATACAAGGTGGATGATTATAATTGTTACATCATATTATTATTATTACTACTACTACTACAATACGTGATTATTACAGTGCTATTCAATATTGAAATTCATGTAAAATCAAAAGCATTGACGCTTAAGCTAAATACTATAATCCACGGCCGTATAACCGCATAGTTCACACACCTCATACCACAATCCACGACCGTATTTCTTGAGCTTGACGTAGTTCTTGGTGTTTTTGTTGGCCTGGAAGGTCATGGTGCAGTAGTCCGTGTTGAAGGGGAAGTAGAAAAAGTTGAAGTTGCAGCGAAACCAGAGGTTGTAGATACGAACTACACGTATGCACGTGTCGTTGCCACGGTAGATACGAGCTGTAGATGATATATGGATGAATAATACTGCGATACGTACGAGCTGTAGATGATATATGGATGAATAATACTGCGGTAAATACGAGCTGTAGATGATGAATGGATGATTAATACTGCGGTAGATACGAGCTGTAGATGATGAATGGATGAATAATACTGCGGTAGATACGAGCTGTAGATGATGAATGGATGAATAATACTGCGGTAGATACGAGCTGTAGATGATGAATGGATGAATAATACTGCGGTAGATACGAGCTGTAGAGGATGAAGGGATGAATAATACTGCGGTAGATACGAGCTGTAGATGATGAATTGATGAATAATACTGCGGTAGATACGAGCTGTAGATGATGAATGGATGAATAATACTGCGGTAGATACGAGCTGTAGAGGATGAAGGGATGAATAATACTGCGGTAGATACGAGCTGTAGATGATGAATTGATGAATAATACTGCGGTAGATACGAGCTGTAGATGATGAATGGATGAATAATACTGCGGTAGATTCGAGCTGTAAGTGTTGAATGGATGAATTATACCGTGGTAGGATAGGTAGGATATTGAATTGGACTGAAAATGCCGTTAAAGAAAGATATTTCGGGCAAAAACGTAAAATGTTGCAATTCAGACATCATTGACTATAAACACTTGTTACCCTGTCGAGGGAAATGTAGTCTTATTTTTTGTACATTTTTTACAAAGATGAATTTCTGATCAGATATTGCTAGACTGAGAGATTATTATGACCAAGATTGGAAGCAGCGAGTTGTGGGTTCGGAACCCAAAATTATTTGTGACAATTCTGCTCGAAATCTACAAGGAGGCTGAATGGTTAAGAATACATGGCTTCTCCCATACATGGCGAAGCCATACACCGCTATTTTACATTACTGTGCGTTACGTAATTTTGCATTAAATTACATTAGGTTGCGTTATTTTACGTTACATTACATTACTTTACGTTACGTTATATTACGTTACATTACATTACGTTACGTTACGTTATAACGTTACATTACATTAAGTGTTACTTCATATTACATTACGTCCCGTTACACTATATAAAATTATGTTACGTTATATTGAATTACAATACGCTACAGTACGTTACGTCGCGTTGTATTACATTAAGTAACGTCAAGCCACATTACATTACGTCACGTTAGGTTCCTTTACATTAATTTTCGTTACCTTATATTACACTACGTTACATTAAGTTAAGTCACGTTACATTGCAATAGCTATGTTACGTCGCGCTACGTCACGCTACGCTACGTCACGCTATGCTACGTCACGCTATGCTACGTCACGCTATGCTACGTCACGCTATGCTACGTCACGCTATGCTACGTCACGCTATGCTACGTCACGCTACGTTACGTCACGCTACGTTACGTTACGTCACGCTACGTTACATCACGCTGCGCTACGTCACGCTACGCTACGTCACGCTACGCTACGTCACGCTACGCTATGTCACACTACGTTACGTCACGCTACGTTACGTTACGTCACGCTTCGTTACATCGCGCTGCGCTACGTCACGCTACGTTACGTCACGCTACGCTACGTTACGTCACGCTACGCCACGTTACGTCACGCTACTTTACGCTACGTTACGTCACGCTACGTTACGTCACGCTACGTTACGTCACGCTAGGTTACGTCACGCTACGGTACGTCACGCTACTTTAAGCTACGTTACGTCACGCTACGTTACGTCAGGCTACGTTACGTCACACTACGTTACGTTACGTCACGCTACGTTACATCACGCTGCGCTAAGTCACGCTACGTTACGTCACGCTACGCTACGTTACGTCACGCTACGCTACGTTACGTCACGCTACTTTACGCTACGTTACGTCACGCTACGTTACGTCACGCTACGTTACGTCACCCTACTTTACGCTACGTTACGTCACGCTACGTTACGTCACGCTACTTTAAGCTACGTTACGTCACGCTACGTTACTTCAGGCTACGTTACGTCACGCTACGTTACGTCACACTACGTTACGTCACGCTACTTTACGCTACGTTACGTCACGCTACGTTACGTCACGCTACGTTACGTCACGCTACGTTACGTCACGCTACGTCACACTGCATACCTTCACGGGACCGCTGCACGTCATCTTCCTCAGGGCTGCCCAGTTTCTCGACTGTTATCTTAGTTTTGGAGTCCACAACAGAGTTGTTGTTGCCTTCCGAGTCTATAAAACTGATCTCTGGGACCCAGATATATTCATTCATCTGAAAATAATACATTACATGCTATAAAATTTAGGAGGACTACCTTGAATTTGTATTTGATTGATGAGGTGGCACATAAAGAGCTAATTAAAGTTTTATTTCTTATCCTGCCTAATTAGTGTATCACCTGAGACCAAAATGCGACAGATTCCTTTAGTTTTCAGCCGTTGTCATATCTATGTATATCAAACGCCCGCTTGTATAGATTTTATTCGCTTCTTATAATGCAAGGTAGAGTCCTTAAATCTGTTTATATATATATATATATATAGAAAATATGTTTTTTTCTGACGAGTCATTATTTCTCTACTTGGATTACTATTGATAATAATAATACGCATAATATATAGTGTTAGATTGCACATATCACTGCTGCTTCATTGAATTTTGGGGTAACAACTACATTTCTAAATGATTTTCTCAGACTTTCATAATTATATAATGCGCGTCGGCTTTTTAACTTCTCGTTAATGTAATCCAACATTGACATTTACATATTTGGACAATAAAAAGTCGGAATGATGTTGTGCATTAATGTAACACTCGTTGTATCGAATCGTGCTTCGAATCACCGACATGTGGAACAGCCTTCCCGATGACATCGTTGGCGCTCCAAGTATGAACGCGTTCAAGAACAGACTAGATAAAGCTATGGAAAAATATATGTTCAGATTTGAAATGCCTAGCTCCTTATCGAACCCGGTGGAAGTCTAGTAGCTTCTTCAAACTATCGCCAGTCATGAAAAGATCCGGTCAAATGACACGAGTTTAGATCTATGAACAAGGCACGAAAAGGAAAAGAATCGGCGACAGGCCACATCAGGCCTACACTTCAGCGCCGACATGCATCACTATGTTATGTTATGTTATAAGTAACACTGCGCACACGGTATCTTCGCTGTGGTTTTGATTGCTGGGGAAACAATTACATTTATGTATAATTTTATAAACCTATCACCGCTTCGGCTCTTCAACTTCTTTTTAATATTTTCATTTCTTTCCTTATATTTATTCAGACAATGAAAAGTTGAAATCCCCACCTCATGGGGCTGCAATATGTTCAGCTCTCTGTCGTCTTTTAAATATTTGAACTTAAGTCTTGGGTCCATCCAAATAAAGCGCAGCTTCAGCTCGACATTGAAGCGGTTGCCCACGCTCTGAATTGCGTAGAAGGATCTGAAGGGAAAGTTATTTCTGCTTCAATGCATTTCAACGGTAAGTACTTATAAGGGCAAATGGTTCATTGCTAAGCATATTATCGGCAAATGAAAAAGGAATGAAATATCTGAATAGACATATTATCTGTAAACAAAAAAAGTATATGATAATTTGGCATATGATATACGTTCATTGGCATATTATACCTTTATAGGCGCATGATAGCTTGGCATACGTAAGTAGCCTCAAGGTAGCAGCGTTAGCCTCACCATAAGACCAAGCACCAGACACACTCACGCGATGATTATGTTGAGGTAGACGTAGGTAGGTTCGAAGCTACCATCACTGTCAGCCTCACCGTAAGACCAAGCACCAGACACACTCACGCGATGGTTATGTTGAGGTAGACGTAGGTAGGTTCGAAGCTACCATCACTGGCCTCTGAAGAAGAAGGTGGCGGTAGGGTTCGCTGGTATCCGTGGGGGACGATGGCCAGGGTACAGTCCAGTTCATCAGACTGGTCCCGACACTGTGCCCGACGGTCGCATACCTACACACATTCCTCGTCTTTATTACAGTTCTGAATTAACTTGCGCATACCTCAATGGCCAATTTGGCGCGAATTTTGGAACGCTGCTTTATTTTATTAAAATTCTGAACACATTTGTGAAATTTTGTACAAATTTTGCAATCGTTGCAAAATTTGCACGTTGCTACGTGCAAATAGTGCGTCACTATTTGGCCATTATGTTCTATTCATTTTCCTGGAGGAATGAGCCTTAGAAAATTTCGAATTTAATGAGATGCGCAACAAACTCTGACCTGCACCAGCGGCACACAAGCCCCATCGTTGCAGGTGAACTCCTCCCCATTCTTGCACTGCGTCAGCGTGAGGCTCACGACCTCCCCAGCCGCAGACCCACAGAAGCCATGGGTGAACTTCCAGAAATTCCTGCCGATGGGGTAGCTGAGGCTCTTGCTCCCCACCACCATAAGGGCGTGGGTGTTCTCGTCCTGGGTGACTCATGAGTAAATAGTTTGAGTGACATTGCAATTTGTTAGAATATTTCAATAGAAATTACATATACGAGTTCCAATGAAAATGTCATGTCAAGGAGTTGACGGTTAATTTGCCTGGCTCGCCAAAATGGTTGGTGCCAAAAAATGGTTAGAGTTGTGGGTATCATAAAAATTTATTAGACCAACTACATAGGAACTGAAAGTTGGAGTTCCAAAGAAAATTGTCATTAAAATGGTGCATAATCATGACAGTAACATCATGTATTACCAGTAAAAAATTGACAGTGAAATATGTTTGGACGATCGGTTGAAAAGTTGCCAACAATATCTTGTGATGTATTGAAGCATCATCAATATCAATAATTAGCTTGCAAAAATATAAATAACAATTATTTGTGACTTTGATGATGTTAATGTGCATCAACCAGAATTTCTTTTCGTAAATTCAGTATTATAATCCACGTTAACGGAATCGATAAATATGATTTATCTAATACACTAAATGATGGCCAATTCACAATGAATTTGGCGTTGAATAAAAGTATTATTATCTAAGTTAACAGGAGCAGAGAATTTTATTTTACGAATTGATAACTAAACGTCCTCCAGTTCTCTGTGAATGTGTCGTTATAATCAACTAAGTTAAAAAGCTCAGTTAAGGTAGCTTCACTAACTTATTGATTATACACCCTCCAATTCACTGTAATTGTTATTATCTGAACTAAGCACTATATCATCTAAATTACCATGATCATTCACGTTTAATCCAGTAATAACCAATGCGCTAAATGCCCAATATAGTCATGTGTCGTTATTATTATCCAAGTTAACAAGTTCAGTCATGGTTACTTCATTAGGTAATACACTAAACGCCCTCTAGCGTGTAGCAAAAAGTCCAACACAGTTGAATGGAAAACAAAACTGCAGCGACCAAGTGTCCCGAGGGCGTGTCCCTAGAACGCATTGTAATTTCCAGGCAGCAATTCGGCTAGGCGTGGGACGCACGAGTCCAGTACTTACAACAGTCACGCACAGGGGACAAATTTGAACGAACACTCAATAATGAATGTTTTTTTGGGCCAAAATAGTGACAATTTTTCATCCGCAGCACGAGCAGAGAGAAAAACATATTTTTAGAGATAGGTTAGCAAACAAATTTCTTGTCATATACGTTATAACAAAGCTGAGTAAAATATTGAATTAGGAAAATACCGGTGCACGAACATGCAGCAGTTGTTTTTACCCGCAAATACAAGGAATGTATATATATATATATATATATTTCTGAAACACATCTATATATGTGTCAACATATCTGAACAAACAGAGATATTAAGAAACTATTTTAGTTACCCCAGTATTCAGGAGCCTCCATATGTCCGCAGTTAGGTGTCGTAGTAGCCAAGTGGAGACATTAAAAAGCATTATATTAGTTACCCCGGTATTCAGAAGCCTCCATGTTCGCAGTTAAGTGTCGTAGTAGCCAAGCGGAGGTATTAAAATGCATTATTTTAGTTACCCCGGTGTTCTGGAGCCTCCATGTTCGCAGTTCGGAGTCGTAGTATAACTCGGAGCGATAATAGCCGCGGAAGTGGGGTTTCTTGTTCTTGTCGCCGTCCATCACGAAGCGGTCGTCGTAAAATACCGCCTCGCAGATCCCGCGAAGTCTGTTCGCGTATAATTTAAGATAGTAATGCATCTTTTACTACACATCACGTGATATTTTGGCATAGTCAAGTAGGAGTGGTTATTTATTGCAATTTTTGTGGTATGCCGGAGGATATTTCCTCGTCTCAACATGAAGCTGGTGGTAAAATTGAAAATATTGCTCGATTCATTCAGATGGCGGGAATACGAAAAATCATATATATAAAAAATCATTTCGTGTTCGAAACTCTATCAGTCAAGCATTGAATGCTTTTCAATCTAAACACACAAATCACAGACGAGATTGGTGTGTCGCTGAGTGTACTTAAGATGCAAGTTGAAATTAGTCCACTACGTATACACTTAGGCGGTTACAACTTACATGTACGTAGGCCGCTACTTTTACTTATAGGCCGCTACATGTACCTAGTCCGCTATATGTACTTAGGTCGCAGCATGTACTTAGGCCGCTACACGTACTTATGCCACAACATGTACAATTTTTATAGAGCGGCCTTAAGAGACACGGAAAAATGTATTGCCCTATCTGACCTAAGGAAGACTGGGACATTGAGCTTGCAGAGGGTGCAGACTTTGAAGCTTTTAGCGCAGCTGTTGTCGGCCCAACCGCCATGTGGGCGCATCACTGCGCAGTTCTCGTTCTGGCCGCCGTTGGGCTGACCTTTGCTCCAGTTGAAAAATGTCACCTGAACACGTGGAATTTACAGGGTGAAAGTTAGGATAATTGCTAATGATTTTACACATCTCTCTTCTTCTGTATACTGTCGGTGACTCTCTTTCATATGTTTTGAGGTACGATTAAGGTTAAAAGCATTCTGTTTATCTGTAAACAAAAGGCGATTAAGTGGATATTTCACCTCCAATCCTGCAGTAATTCATGTGAATTAATTTAAGCTTCTATGCACATTTACCATCACCCTTCAATCGCTGGCAACACAACGTTATTTTGCGATTGTATCATTCATGAATACTCGAATATCAAAATTCACATGCAGTGTTTCCACATTTTCCTCTAAGCACTTTTCTCAACTCTGTTTTATATTTAATTTTATCGTATTGCGACACATTTTTTATGTGCAGTTATATAGAAAATTTTATTCTAACGTAGTTCGATATCGAACATTTCGAATTACAGTTATAGTATATTTCAGGCTATCGTAATTAGACTACAAACTTTTCAAAATACAATTATCATATATTTTACTTTATTTTAATTCGATACCGTCCTTTTTGATATGCAGATATGTCCGGTGTCAATCTGGCGTCTCATTATATTCATTACAATTATATTATATGAAATGATTATCTGTAGTTGAGACGTAATATTCACTAGACTTAATAGGATTGATGAAAAAGTACCAGACCTGAGTCAGCATTTACAAAATCACGTGACAGATTACGCTATCAGGACCTCAGTATAGTGGGCGGATGCCGTGGTTATAAACGGGCTGGGAACCTTAGTAAGGCCCCCAGTCCGCACGCCGCAATGTAGCTAGCGTTAGAGCTACTCTGACCTAAGGGTCGACGTCTTAGCCTATACCTGTATGACTGTATCGTATCGCTCATGTATTACCACCCCGTATAAAGATAACTTCTCTAGACAGATGGTGTCTTACTTATCCCTCACGCACTTAGTCAACGAAACCTTCTCCAGGCAGGCGGTAGGGCCTGACAGATAGCATATACTTTATTTTATCGTAATTCGATATAGTAATTTTTTATACAGTTATAGTATATTTAATTTTATCATTAATATGGAAAAAATCCTCAGCAACTCACTTGCTGCCCGTTGCTCACTCGCTCCCACCGCCCATCCCGCCACTCGTCCGTCATGTCGAGCCATGTGAGTGGCCCACTTGGGCCTGAACACTCGGACACACTCTTGTTGGCGATCTTCAGGGCTCTCTAGGAGAGGAATTTAGGGTTTTATAAGGTAGAAATTTAGGGCTCTCTTGGGTAGAAATTTAGGGTTTGTGAATCCGACGATTCAGAAGTCATTTCGGATTCGGATGGACTCTCAGACAGCGATATAGCCTCATAGGGTAGAAATTTAGAGCTCTCTAGGGTTGGAATTAAACATCAGAATTCAATAAATAAATTACAAACGACTAAATAACAGAATTAAATTAATTACATAGACTTACTCTATAACTTTACTTTTTCTAAGTGACATACACTTACGTAGTTTAGTTGTACTTTAGTTTTAGTTTTCTACATAACACATAGTCATTTAGACATCTAAACTATTTAGATATTTTGGTTTAGTGGAAGAGAATTATATGGATAATTAAACAATATAATTAACAAAACACAGTTAGATCAAAAATTTTCGGTAAAAAATAAAATAGGGATAGTTTTTTATTAGAAAAACAAGAAATGGAAAATATTTAAAAAAGAATAAACGCTCGAACTAAACTAACGCTATAAATGAAAAAAAACACGATAAATGAAAAAATTGTTTATGGAGAAGAAATTATTCCTGAAAATAAAGCTGATGTCAGCAGCCGGTGCAAGCTATTCAGAATACAAATTCATTGAACAATCGCAAAATTTATGATCAATTTTTCATTGTACAACTTTCTATAGAATATTTAGTCCACTAATAGTGAAATTCAGAAACGATACAATAACAAAGCTAGAGCGGAGAATTTATTACGAATAATATGTCTTGTTACACACCTCAAGCTCCGTGCGGTTGCCCGGCAGGGCGAGAGCCCCACCGAAGGCAGAGCAGAGGCTGACGGCGACTTTGAACTGCAGCAGCTCCTTGAACATGACGTGCGACTCGGGGGTCGTCTGGCACGTCTCTTGCACCGTGCGCACTTTCTGTCATGGGTACGACAACATGGCACTGTAGAAATTTCTTTTCTCAACTTTATAATAGCGCCAAGTTTAGGTACAATAATTGTACCTTTGTACGTTATTCGACTGGGGTTAACTGATAGGTTTCCTACACCGTACGCACTTTTTCAGTTTCACCTGTCTTTTTCACCTTTTACTCTTTCTGTCATGAGTAGGACAACGTGGCACTTGAATAATAGCGTTCCTTTACAATGGGGTTGCTCACTCACTCGTGCTGTAGCGGATGGCATATGCAACACTTATATTTGTTTTTAAGGGCTTCTGCCTGCGGGCCTTACGATACGTGGATAAAGCAATTCACAGGAATGTTCTAAGGCTGAGAGGTATTATTTAAATATAGGAGATAATCTTGAGACACGACACAGTTTCATAAATAAATTCAACTGGATTAAGGAACATCTGCAATTCGACTAACAAGGGGTGTTGGCATGAGAGCTGGTCATGAAACAGAAACCGTCGATAAGACACGGAAAAAACAACAGAATATCATATAATGTTCAAGTACCTAAAAGTAAACATGATTAGGTAGCAGCTAGGATAACGATTAGATTGCGGCTACCTCAAAATCTGTGCGTTTTCATTTAATCTTTAGTCGCTCTTGGAGAAGTGTGGCATTTAGTCTCTAAACTAAAACGCATAGCGTTCCAGTTTAATACGTCTCTTGCAATGCAATACGTCTCTTGCATTAATAAACAATGTTTATTAATAAATTATAACAAATAATTATTTTGCTTACAGTTCTAGTAGTCCTCCACTTGTATAATTAACACATAATTTTCTACAGCTTCTGAAAAAAAATCCATCAGACAATGTTTATCAATAAATAATAACAAATTGTTATTTCGCTTACAGTTTTAACAGTCTTTCCCTTGTATAATTAATAAACAATTTTATACAGTTTCTGAAGCAAACCTCCATCAGGCAATGGTTATAATAAATTCTAAAAAATCATTATTTCGCTTACAGTTCTTGTAGTCTTCTCCCTGTATAATTAATAGTTATTTCGCTTAAAGTTTTATTAATCCTCCCTCTATATAATTAATAAACAATTTGCTACCGTTTCTGAAGAAAAACATCCATCAGACAATGATTAATTATAAATAATAACAAATTATTATTTCGCTTACAGTTTTATAGTCTTCGCCGAAAGTCCACGTAGCCGTGCGCCAGTTGATGACGTCACCAGGAGGCACGTATAGCCCTGGGCTGCACGACATCACCTGCACCACCTGCGTGTCTGTGAGCGCGTAGCTGTGCACTTGTAGGTCCGTGATCTCTCCGCTGTTGGGGAAATTTTAATATTTTGGATAAAATTCAATATTTCAATTTCTACAAAATATGTACTAGAATATTGAAACATTCACTAGACTGAAATATGTTATAGATTATTTGAATATGTACTGTAATGAAATATGTACTATGCAGAAATATGTATTAGAACATATAATATGGAACGTCGGTAACACTTAATGTTCGGGATGTTTTTTTTCAAAACTGAACATATGACGTTTCACAAGCAATTAAATTAATTTAAATCAATGATGTATATTCAAAGAATATTGATATATGAACTAGACTGAGATATGTGCTAAAAAATTGCTATATCGACTGGACATGAATATAGACTAGAATATTTATGTATGTATTATACTGGAATGGGTACTAGACAATAAAATGTACTAGAATATTAATTTATATACTAGACAATAAACATGCACTGGAATATTGAAGAATGTACTAAACTGAAACGGTACTAGACAATAAAATGTACTAGAATACTGATTTATGTACTAGACATATAACATGTACTGGAATATTGAAGAATGTACTAAACTGAAACGGTACTAGACAATAAAATGTACTAGAATATTGATTTATGTACTAGACAATAAACATGTACTGGAATATTGAAGTATGTACTGCATTCGCTCACCAATATGACTGGGCTGGGTCGAAGCCCCCCGCCAGACTGTCTTGGTCCTGACCCAGCACCACGGTGCCCCCCGCCTGGCTTAACTTCTGCGGCCCTGGCACAAACCATTCTTCCTGCAGCAGATATAGGATAACAAAATATAGTAAATATTAATAATATAACCATGCAGAATATAAAAATCAGAATATATAATAATATAACCTTACACTTAGAAAATTAAAAGCTCAATTCGTCCAAAAAGTGATACAAAATCTCAATCGTACTCAATTCGTACAAAAAAATTCGAACACACCCTTAATTAACCTCCAGCGGATGTAGAACTGAAACGACCGTTTACCGGGCCAAACTATATACATATCAGGATGACTCATTCAAGGACAAAGAGTGTATCGCGATTCGGACAAAGATTCCCTCACTTTTCTGAGTGCACATCAGCATTCCTCAGACCTTCATCAATTTTCCGTTGAAGAATACAGCCAATCTTCCGGCATCAGCATCGATGATGGTGCAAAAGCTTGCCCAGTACATGAGTGGCGTGACGATGTTGGTGGTGACGCGTACATTGTATTCCATCACCTCCACCTGCATCCCTCGACGATTATGGTCTTAAAAATAAAAAAATGAATTTTATGATTTTACAAACTCAAAATACCTCCACCTGCATTTCTCGACGATAATGGTCTTAAAAATAAAAAAATTAATTTTATGATTTTACAAACTCAAAATCAAATGGCTTCGCCAACTCTTATAATCCATATCATTTCATATGAATTAATATACCCCGTAAAACTCCTAATTTGGGTTAAACTAGAGTGGTGATGCCTTTCTGATGTAAATGTACTGGATAATTTTTTTCTTACCTGAACACATGACGTATAACAAGTAATTAAAATTATTTAAACCGATTCATGTCTGTTCGGAGAATGAGTCATACAGAATGTGCGAATAAATTTATTGTGTCTAATTTAATAGTATTTAATCTATTTAAATGTGTAATTAAGCTAATCCATTGCAACTAAATAAAAAGCTGTCAATTTGACTTCCAGTTACAATCTCCGAGAAAGACTCGTCGTGGTTGGGGAAGACGTTAAGAATTAAATTATTAATTAATTAACAAAATAATCAACTGCCAATAAATAGTATTAAAATCCCCAAAAAATTCTCTTTTTTTCAGATAACTGGAAGAAAATATCCACATTTATTCGACATTGACAACAATTTCGCATTTCAACGTCAAATTCGTCATGTTAAGAAAATTGTGAGAAGAACTAAATTACAAACTACTGAAAAAAACATAAACCAGATTAACACGGTTAAACTCGACAACTAGTAACGATCTCGGACCGATCTGGTCGCTGAACCAGACGTTAACAATTAATTGAATAATTAACCACCAATAAATATTATTCAAATAGTTAAACTTTACTATCAGTTACGATATCTGAGCCAGATCTCTGAAAAGTAACGGAAGTCTGAGGCGGTAGCTGATGCTGAGGCGGTCAGATTTACAGGAAGGTTATATGGTTGAATAATTAAGTACAAATAAATCACGTTCATATGGCAAAAGATTACCAGTAAGGATCTCTGAGCCAGACTCGTCCCGGTACGAGAAGACAGTAACATCAGGCCTGAAGTAATGCAGTCTGAGGCGGTAGCAGATGCTGAGAGCCGTAAGGTTGGCAGGGAAGCTGCCGTTCCAGAGCATGTAACTTCGCACGCTCGGTATCTTGGAGGGCTGGAGGTAGTACGATGTGATGGTCTCGTTTGTTGTTTCTGGTAAGGCTATGGGTGAGGAAATATTCCAAATTTCAGAGATCATTCATTTTGAACTTAGTAAGCTCTAACCATACAGGCAAATGTCGTTGGTGTGACGGTGTGGAATGGCGATGTGGAATGATGGTGTGGAGTTACGATGATGAATGATGGTGTGGAATGATGGTGTGGAATGATGGTGCAGAATGATAGACCATCTCAACTTGTTCGATCTGTTGTTCTACTGAATAAATTTGAATCTCACAATGCTTTTTTATGAGAACCCCGATCATTGCCTTACTTATTTGCAGAGCCAGGCTCCGATCACACAAATATACAGAATTTGGCAAATAGGTAATGAATAATACTGTTATTGTGATACAATTTACTGCCTTTTAAAAACACGGACAAACCTGGAACGCCGGTGATCAGCAGCATCGCCACCATAGTTAGCGTTGTCGGCGAGACATTAATTCTGCTTTGCAATTTCTTCATCGCATTCAGTTCTATTTTCTGGTCGGTGCGACAGAAACTTTGGCGAGAAATAACGTAAAGAAACAGTTTATCATCAATTAAATCTAACCCAATTTACCGCAAGCTAACTTAAAGTTACTTAGATTTAATATAGATCATCTTGAATAAGCCACGATTGGTTAAACTCGTCTTGTTTATTTGGCATTCAGTGCTTAATGTCATAGCGAGATACAGTGGGGGAGGGGAATAAATATTCGTACACTTGAAAAATCGTATTTTAATGTATGTAAGTACACAAACTGAACAGGAGAAGTGATTTATATTATGTCTAGAGGCGCATTGTATTCAAAAATAGCATCAATAGAAATTAAATCTCAATGCAACAAAAATTAATGCAACATGTTAACTTCTTCGGGGTCAAAAAAGTATTCGTACAAAACAACTTTTGACTAATATTTCACGTTAGAACATTCCAGAATGTACTAGAAACATGTAGCACGTTCCAGTAATGTAATCAGTAACCATAGTTAACGTATTTTGCAACTACCAGATCATTCTGCAACTGCCCGTAGTACAAGAAGGTCTCAAAAATGGCTAACGGTAAAGAACTAACAAGTTCCCAAAAACAACTAATTCTATCGCGTTGGAAGGAAGGAGAAAGTTATTCCCGAAAAGTGAACATGTTGCATTGTTTTTTGTTGCATTGAGATTTAATTTCTTTTGATAGTATTTTTGAATACTATGCGTCTCTATACATAATTTAAATCACTTTTCCTGTCAAGTTTGTGTACTTACATACATTAAAATACGATTTTTTAAGTGTACGAATATTTATTTCCCCCCACTGTACGTCTTTAAAAAAATGTGGAATAACACCAGTTATCGAACCAAAAACTTTAAAATTATTTTTTACAGTAGAATACTTTTGTTCAATTTCCTTTCTATTATGAAGTCCTGTGTTACAGAGTTGTTTATAATATATTTGCACTGAAAGGTTCGAACCTAACTTTGAGCAAATTCAAGTAACACATTTATGACGATTAAAATTAACAAAATTTTATTTTTCCAGGATGATTTTTATACCAATCCATTTAATTATCCGATAAAAAATATTGGTATTACCTAGAAAAAAATTTGATTATTGTGGAAAGATTTGACTTGCAAGAGCACCAGGCACCATCCACCTGCTCACTCTACGCTGGCCATCAGACAAGTGAGTGCACGGAGCGCGCTGCGTGTGTGTCGAGTGTCAGGCGTTGCTGCATGCAACTGGTAACTCATTCAATTATTAAGTTGATTAATTTAAGAGTTAATATATATGCAGATACAACTAAATTAACAAATCAAATTGTTCATTTAATTCCAATGAAAAAGTTTTTTTTTGTGAGAAGGAGCGTTTTATCTCAACGACTATACCTTTTGTCATCTCATCGATAGATCGCTTATCTGCGATCTCGTAAATTTGTTTTAACTTGGTAAGTTGTGAGAGAAAATGCTCCTGTGGACAAGTCGCGAAAATTACAAGAATCCGCAAGAGACCATATTAGGCCTATTCTTCAGCGCCGACTCACTATGCTATGCTATGCTAACACAACCGACTGGGGTACTAAAATGTTTCTTTTATCTTCCGTGGATTTCACGACATGGAATTTCTTAGTGCAAAGGAATTTCATCACTGAAGTGAATCATATATTGGGTACTACTACTAAGCTCAAAGTTTAAAAGTTAGCAAAGCGCGGCTTATGATGTATCATATCTAAAAATAGAATATGAATTTAATGAGATTTGATGAAGAATGAGTTGAAGGTGCTAAAAAGAGATCGTCCAGAATGTGGTAAGGAAAACTCCAAGCTATCGTCGCTGGTGGAGTTATGGATAAAAATCCTAGCGAATGGATACGAGTTAGACGGCGTGCACGCAGCATTCCGTTGCATGGAATTTAATTCGAATTTAATCAATATGAATCCGTGAGATAGCTTAGAGTTTTACGCCAAAATGCAGTGTAATAAAAAAAATAAGAAGTACTCATTCAATTTCCAGAGTTGCTTGATAACAAAATAAGAACGTAATCGCGTGAATTTATATTTCACATATTGTAATAACAACAGACATTGGAGTATAGTTGTACAAATATGAACCGCAAAGAATATTTTGTAAAAGATGATCTCCTTAAAAATTAGGATCTAAATGAATCATCAATGAATCTATACAAAGTGGGAAAATTTGGTATGGAACAAATTTGATTTTCTGTTTATCCGCGTTTTGGAAGAAAAAATTCATATCCGTGGGGAGATTTTTGTTCAAAGTTTACTTCAAACCAGAGTTTAAAAAGAAAATCAGTCAAACTAAACACAAAACTTTGAGTTGAGATAGCCAGGCGCAGATTTTCTCATGATTCAGCTAACGCTCATTATCGTTTTAGTAAATTACTTATTATTTATATTAAAACACAAGTAAATAGTTCATGAGTCAAGCCTAAAAATTCCTCCTGATTGTTGGGTGCAAAACAAAAGATTTAGTCATTCCGGAGAGACAAAATTGATGCTTGGTATCAAAATTTCCATATTATTCGTGATTCAGCATCAGATTTGTTCAATTATCTGTTAACTCAGTATGCAATTTGTGTGCAAGAACACAAGTATACTGTATATGTGACATAGTTTAATGCGCATACAATTTTAATACGGTGTACAAGGCTAATATCTCAGTTAATGCTCATTTACAATTTCTCTACAAAAAAAACATTTTCTTTCTTCTATGGATAACTGAAATAAAACAAAATTGGAGATTTTCATATTAATTCTGAAAATTAGCCTTATGAGGAATGTCAAGACAAGTATAAGTATAACATATGTATACATAGCAATGATTTTACACATCAATGCCGAACAAAATTGAAAAATTCATGCGTGACAATATTCGACAATGATATTTACACATCATCTATTCCTATTCGTGCAAAGTCAGAAATTCTCTAGAAAATGATTGGAGAAACATGGTTAGGATTAACACTTTCAGCTTTGTTGTCAATAACATTTATTGGCCCTCTTTGAAAATTACAACTGTGAATAAAACTCGCAAATCTAAATTAAATTTAAGTATTGTTAGATTTGTTTTCCTTTCAAAAATTTGTGATGGAGGTTTTGATAGATATTTAGAGTATATTTTACGAGACTGCTATGCGTTTTAAAAGCCCCTGTAAAAAGTCCTGATTCGTTTCTGTAGACTTTTCCTATTCTATTTACAGTGAAGAATTAAAAAAGATATAATGTAGCAATTGGGGTAATAATGGTAGGTGAGGTTGCTTGTTTATTATTTTAATCATTTATTAATACAAAATAATAGGATGTGTTATTACATTCTATTATTGAACGTCAGTGCCTCCTTGAAGTCCAGGGCGTGATTCATAAGTGATGATCCTTGAATGACGATTTATACATGAGTGGTGATTCAATACATAAATGGTCATGGTACGAATCCCTACTGAAACTTAACGAATGGTGATTCATTCGTGCCTGGTTATTCATGCACGAGTGGTGATTCATACATGAATTGTGATTCATACATGAATAGTGATTCATACACGAATGGTGATTCATACATGAATGGTGACTCATTCATGAACGGTGATTCATACACGATTATCTACACATTGTCCCAGTGTTATCAGCTCGTAGATAAGATTGCCGCGCCTAGGGTGTTCACTGTGCAGGGTCTGATGAAAGTGCATTGCCTCAAGCTGCAAATATCTTAGAACAGTTTTTCGGAACAACAGTAAAATGAACCTCAGAAACTATTTGATACTGAACAATAAAACACGTTTGGGATAATGGCCGTCCAAAATTTGTGAGCTTTAGATATCGAAGATATAATCGGCGAGAAATGCCTTAGGATATTGCAATCGTAATTCACGCACTCATAAAATGAATGGGTCATATTGTTCAAATAGCGACACATTTTATTAATCACAGCACGAGCAGAGAAAGTACGCAAAACCCTTACCCGGGCCAAACTGGATCGGTGTGAACCAAAGACAGGCAAAAAATTGCATTTGTATTTGGACAAATTCTCATTCACTTATCTGAGTGTATGATGTTGAACACTCGCTGGCAAGCTATCGCTGAGCAGCAGTGAGAGTTGAGTGTGGGCGAGCGAAGTTGACTCAAGTGACTTGCCAAAATCTGCGAGTGACCATTGATCAAACACAGGCTTCCTTACAGGCCTCCTGAAATGCTTGAAGCAATTACTAAGATCACAGTTAGATAAAACAATCATTTAGCAGCTGATATTCAATATTTCAGTTACCCTAAAGTCGTGTGGGCTAAGAATATTTAGTTAAATGATGTTTTAACATCAGCTTCACGTTGATTACCACCCACTTGTAAACGGCGCGCGGAAACTCTGACTTCCAGCCTTCCTGGCTGGAAAAACCTTGTCTAAATATTAGCTCAACATTCACACGAAAGCCTAGAAGTTCCATTCTTCTTCAGTAGAGGCCTGGACGTCTTACAGTCGACGTGGCTGCTCCTAGTTTCTGCTGTGGTACTTTGAATATTACTGCGTTTTGAAAATGATAATAAACATCATTAAAAATCTATCGAAATACTGTTTTCTTTTACTCTCTTAACCAACAATTTTTGTTAAAATTAAAGAAAGATGTGAACATATGAATAGGCGCTTATTTCTGGAATTAGAAATATAAATGTAAAGGGAAGTGGAGGGAGTGAAAGAGGCGACTGAAAAAGAGTGGGGGGAGTGAGTTAGGCGAGAGAGTAGAGGGAGTGAGAGAGGCGAGAGAGTGGAGGGAGTGAGAGAGGCGACTGAGAGAGAGTGGAGGGAGTGAGAGAGGCGACTGAGAGAGAGTGGAGTGAGTGAGAGAGGCGACTGAGAGAGAGTGGAGGGAGTGAGAGAGGCGACTGAGAGAGAGTGGAGGGAGTGAGAGAGGTGACTGAGAGAGAGTGGAGGGAGTGAGAGAGGTGACTGAGAGAGAGTGGAGGGAGTGAGAGAGGCGACTGAGAGAGAGTGGAGGGAGTGAGAGAGGCGACTGAGAGAAAGTGGAGGGAGTGAGAGAGGCGACTAAGAGAGAGTGGAGGGAGTGAGAGGAATTGCTCGAGACGGAAAAGTGGCTGAAAGAAGAAATATAAAATATAGGCAGATGAACTGTTTGATCCAATTTGATATAATGTGTTTCCGTTACTTTCGTACAAGTGAACCCATTTGCTGACACTTTTATTCGGGTCTTCTTGGTGAAGGAGTAATTCACTTGTAAATATACTAGGATCGTATCAAGAATGTATGCCAATTCAACCATTATCCCTGAAGAAGATTTTTCATAAAGAGAATCCGACGGCTTGGAGATGGAGGACGACGAAGGTGGCGCATCAGCGTGATGATGGAGGAGGACGTCCTAAACTTGACATAAGGCCATAAGGATAAGGGAGTCCTACAGGCGGTGCGGTAGGCAAGACTCCGGCATAGCTGAGGTTCTTTGTCCAGCTATGTCAGTGTCAGGCCCCTCGTACCAGCCCTCTGAACTTCAGTGTCCCGCCCCTCAGTGTCCTGCCACTCAATGTCCTGCCCCTCAGTGTCCTGCCCCTCAGTGTCCTGCCCCTCAGTGTCCTGCCACTCAATGTCCTGCCCCTCAATGTCCTGCCCCTCAGTGTCCTGCCCCTCGTGCCAGCCCTCTGAACTTCAGTGTACCTCATTGGTGCATACTTCTGCACAATTCGTCTGTAAAATGCAAGATCAAATAATAATAAAGCTTCGATTTCATCTGAACGTCGAGACCAAATTTCCTGCCGAATCCGCTAGAAGAACCCAATGTCATTTGTGAAATTTCCAAACATGAGCCGGAAATATCGGGAATTATATTAAATAAGCGGGAGAAAAATAAAGTCTTGCAAGAGCAACAGACCTTTTTCTATTCTAGAATATTGATTACTTTGATTAAGTGAAAATAGTATTTTCTACCCCAATTAATAAGCGTTTAAAAGCATATGTCTTATTCTAGGATGATGCTTGTATCAATTCCTATCAATAAATCTAGCACTGATGCGCGCTTTGGCAGGGACAAACTGCATCAGGATGACCCACATTAGATCACTATTTGGACTAGGACTAAGTGGATTATAAAGATAAAATCGCAATCTGTTATTGATACTTTCAAATCAATTAAAAAAGGTAATTACATTTTAAATATATATAAGATTAATGTGAATCAATATGTTTACCTTTTGTAATGTATCAACGATTATTAAACAAACATTTGATTCATCATCCTTAAATTGTGTTTTAATATTGACCAAGAATTATTCAATATTCTATATTAATTATGACATAATAACCAGAAATAACCTTAATATTATTGGCAGTAAGACACTTTTTGGCGCATTTTCTCATTTATGGAAAAATGCACTATTGTGCTCGCCATGTCCGTCTGTCCGTCTGTCCGTGACCTCAAGTTTTCGTCGACAAAAAAATGCGCTCTCTGTCACTCACTGCAGTGAGTGCTGAGTTATATTTTTAAATAAATTTTCCAATCATACATATGTCACAACTATTTAACCCCTTAATTTTGTTCGTGCATATCGGTTTTCAAGGACATTACGTTATAATGGTGAGGCAAAATAGTGAGGCAGGTACGTTATAATGGTGAGGCAAGATGGTGAGGCAGGTACGTTATAATGGTGAGGCAAAATAGTGAGGCAGGTACGTTATAATGGTGAGGCAAGATGGTGAGGCATGTACGTTATAATGGTGAGGTAAGATGGTGAGGCTTGCACGTTATAATGGTGAGGCAAGATGGTGAGGCTGGTACGTTATAATGGTGAGGCAAGATGGTGAGGCTAGTACGTTATAATGGTGAGGCTTGTACGTTATAATGGGACTCCATTAGGCACTTGGTGCTTGACGTACAGCCGTAGAATTACATTCAGTAAAGTCAAACGAACGTCCAATTTATTAACATTTATACAGTTTCGTGTTTTGCCAATACTAATTTAAATTGACAATTTTTGCGTATTTTCGCTGGATTATTAGTCATCTTGAATTTAATTAAAAGAATGTTTATTACTTTTTTATTTTGTTTTTATTGTGAAATTATAAGAAACATCACTCAAGGACCAATCACGGAAAAGTAAAAGTCATTAAGTGTCCCACGAACGGTTTCAAAAATTATGTTTTTTTAATGACACGCGATTTTAAAAATGACGGACATTTTCATGTTCCATGTAACATGAAATATTTTGAATTTAAAGAAGATAGCAATAAAAATATAAAACAATTTCCTATACAAATTAGATGAAGCTATCGGATCAAGCAAGCCTAATGAGACTGCTTTGTTAATGAATAATAAACTTGATTCATTTTTTTAATTCATCTGCAAACTACGAAAAGAGTTAACAGCGAAGTTTCATTGACCATCTCATAGTTCGGTTATAAAGAAAATAGAAAGAAATCCTATTTTAATCGTCCACACAATATGGTAAACGAAAACTGAAAACGAATGACGTAGAACAAGTTTATGCTATGGCAACAACACTATGTCGGGGTACAAAATTAGGAGGCTATGCAATATACCCGGTCGTCATGGCATTGAAGAATTTCATATATACGGCCTCATAAACGCTGAAATCCGCTATTGTTATTATTATTATTATTATTATTATTATTATTATAGACTGAAAACAAACATTACGAAATTACTTACAGTTTCGTCCGAAAATCGTTTTAAATGAAATCTTAAGTGCCGATTTAACATATGAGAAACTGTAAATGAATAGAAAAGCACTAAAATCTATTCAGACAATAGCACAAAAACATGAATCGTTGAATGGAAGTGCTTCTCAAGTCTGACTGGAAGCTTTGACGATGTCGAGTTGCTGGAACAGAAGGCTGGTAGGGGGCGCACGCGTCGGGCTTGGTGAGACGAAGTGAGACAACCCGCACCTGCTCAGTTGCACCTCAAGTCTGGAAGTGTGTGGACTGTGCGGGCTTTGCCAGCGTTGAGCTTTCTGGATTCCTGAATAGAAAGGTCAAGTTGGCCATTATGTTATTGGAAAATAGCTGAAGTGACTTACAGGAACGAACATAGACATTTAGTACTTTAGGAGTGTAGTTTTAAGCAAAAAAACTTGTTTCATTGTTGAATTGAGTTCATGATGCGAATGGTGAGAAGAGATACTACAGAGCCGACGCCGATATGTCGGTGTCGAGTTCTGTACTTGGGTTCAGCAGTGCCGCAGGTGACCAAGGATGGCTTGCAAGGTATTCAGGAGCCTCTCCGGGAGCTTTATCCTGCTGAAGGAGCGGTCTCTGCCCGTGGCATCGACTCGTGGTTGTCGGTTTGGTCAAACGGACTTCTGCTCGAGAATGTCGACGAGAACCAGAAAAAAGTAACCAGATTTTTTCCAATCGAATCCTTGCACTACTGCGCAGCAGTGCGATACGTCTTGGTTGCAGGCGGAGAAGAAGGAGTGCCTCGGTTCCTGCCTCTCGATTCACCGTTTGCCCGCAACCCCAACATCAGCCACCCTCCCCTCTTTGCATGCATAATGAGGAGGACAACTGGCATTAAAGTACTTGAGTGTCACGCGTTTATATGTAAACGCGAGACTCCAGCTAACGCTCTGGTGCGTTGCTGCTTCCATTCTTACGCTGACAGCATGTACGTCAGGTCCCTGGAGGTTGGTAGCAAGGGCGAAGGTGGTCCTAACTACGAAGTGGCGCGTGCTACTGAAGAGAGAGCCATTGAGATAGATTACACTGGTGACCTAAGCAGCGCTAACTCGGAAATTATCCCAGCCACACCCGGGGACTCGCCTCCTCAGGGTAAAATGTCCCCAAATACTGAAGATGAAACCTCAATTTTTAGTGGAGACGAAAATCATAAAATTTGGGCAGCTTCACAGCAAGAAGAAGTTTATGGTGGCACTGAGTATGGCACTATGAGGTCGGGTCAGAGTGCTGGTTCACTCTATGGCACAGCTGCTGGCTCCCGACCTCGACGACCCCGACAGATGATCATGAGATCCGTAGCTCCTCCGCCACCCCCGTCAGAAGCTGGCACGGATGTCGGCAAAGGAAAAAATAAAAATAAGTCAAAGAAAGATGATGATGATATGAATAGAATCACATCCAATGGCGGCCCAAGTCATCAGTCTTTCAACGGGAGTCTCACGCGTCCACAAAACGGTCATGCCGCCCCTAAGAAAGGCAAGATTCCCCGGCTTTTTAGCAGCTTAGCTGACCGAAAACCGAAACATCATCGCAATAATCCTCCGTTTGTTATGCTTCCTCAGACCCGTGGCATTATGGGTCCCATGCCACCACGGATGATGCCACCTCCTCATGGGCATCATGGTCCTCATATGATGCATCCTGGCCCCCCTCCCCCAATGATGATGCCACCACCTCTTGGACCCCCGCCCCTCATGGGGCCACTGGGACCACCATCTCATATGGGACCCCCACCGGCATATGCCGGGCCTCCAGGTCCACCATCTAGCATGGGTCATCATGGACCCGGCTCTCATTTGGGAATTCCTGGCCCGACACCGTACATGTTGGGTCCTCATGGCATTCCTCCTGCCCATATGATGCCTCCGCAACCAATTTACGGCTACACCTCGTCCATGTCACGACGCCCATCGTCACGGGCTGTGGAGGAACCAATTTACATGCCCTCTGCTCGCCCTATGAGCCCAACTGCTTCGTACCAGCCTGGCCACTTTCCCCACGAACGATACCTCATGCAGCATTACGCCACGACCGGCCGGCCTAACTACCCCCCTGGCAAAAGGGGCAAGAAAAAAGGCAACGAAGTGCCCGAGGAAATCTACGGTCGACGAGGTCACATGAACGAAAAAGCCTTCGCCCAGAGCATCAGGGCTGAACAGAGAGCTCGTTCCTACACATCACTTGCTGGGCTAGGAACTGACTCCATGAACAACAAGGATAGAGAAATTCTTCAGATGGTCCATGACCTTGACCTAAGCGGAGACGAGATCGAGCGAGCTGAACCCAGACCTGGAGTCTACCGACCGTCCTCTGCCACTGTTGCTTCTAGAAACTCCAGGACTTCGAGGCGGTAAGAAAAATTGCGAGTTTAGTTTGTTATACTTTCATAAAATCATCCATTAAATTTTCCCGCAAATATTCCTTATTCATTTACCAGATACCTTAGACGACATATATTTTAGGGTTCCTTGGCACCTTATCATTGGAGACAGCTCATCATTGACGCATTTTATCATTGGGAATTTTCATCATTTCATTCTTTACCAATTTTACCTAAAATTACCTAACATACATACATTTTAAAATTACCTAACGAGCTCGATACATTCCCGTATGTAAGAAAGAACGAGTGTACGGTACTAGTGCAACGGCTTCATTTGAAGAGTTAAAATCTACCGCTCAAATGAAACGTTAGTCACGTGATTCAATTGACTAGAAATAAGCTCTTGAAAACATGTTTTTTAAAAGAGTCAAACGTACATTTGTTATCATGATGGTCCTAGAAAGTCCTGCGTTTGCATTAAACGTGTCGGCATCATTTTGCCTTTACTTGTTAATTGGTAGAATTGACGTAAATCTTGCGTTTTTGTCGTGTGACCTGTCAATGATAAAAAATAAGAATATTCATCATTTAGATTCTCATTTGATAATATAAGAAGAAAATATATTGATTTGTTAATTAACATATTTTTCTGTAAATATATTGGTCCATACTGTTATCAATATTATAAATAATTACTGTAAATGTCTCTTGTAACTATTATATTTATTCTAGAAAAATCAAGATGCCGAAACCGAAGCGTATATAAATTAATCAATCTTTTTTTTTTCTTTCGGAAATCGCAGCATCAAGTAATTTGATCTTTTTCCTGAATTCACTCTTTTGGATTAAATCTCGCTAATTCAAGTTATAATTTTCAAATATCAAGTACTATCTATTGCCTTGAATGTTATGCGCGACTGTTCCCGCGATGTTCAAACGATGCTAATACGCGCTGAAGAACGATATTTTTGCTCATTAATGAAGAAACTATACTTGCAGCTTTGCCAAAAATGAACGGAATCAGAATTCAGGCTTACAAAGTCTATTTAATCAGTATAAAATTTCCCCTTTTTGATTAAAAGTACTGTGATCGGAATTGTATTCGTCCAGTCATTACGAACAACTTCTGCTGGCAAGACCTTCGCTTTTAGATTGTGCATGTTATTGGTTTCGCAGGGTGGAATTCTAGAGTTGAACGTCTGGACCGTTACACTTATCGTATGAGAATTATTCATTTTCATGTGTTATGTGAATGATTCATTCATTCTCTAGAGAGATTCATTCATTCTCTCTTTAGAGAGAGAATGAATTGTAATCCTTAACACATTGAAACTTCCAAGCGGTACTGAGCAAATAGGCGAAACTGCTCGCTCATATTTTCACTGAAATATTCTGTGAATATTTTCAATTCCATTCTGTGTGTTGACATTGCAGTTAACTTACTTAAAGTTTATTGTGAGAAATAATCTTATGTTTTATATCAGAGTCAATAAAAGTTTGTAAACGGGTAGGAAGTCTTTAAGCAAGAAGAAAACACAAATGTAAAAAGAAGAAAACATTCTGTAATTGTAAAAATATGACACTATTCGGGTGAATAACACATATTATTAATGTAAATCAATGATATCACCATGTCTTTGGCAAGCGACTAGATATTCATACTGATACAATATATACTGATACCACATTTATACTGACACAAGATAATTATACAATTGGCATTCGACTAGAATCACTAGATCTATCTACTGAAATGATATATACAGATACTATACGTATACTGACACAAGATTGTATGCTTTTGGTAATAGTGGAAATCGACTATATAATTATAGTGATATGGCGGCTTGCGGCGTATATATAGAATGGACCGTTACGTGCAGCGCTACGTGCGTCAGGTCGACAAGTGGCGGCCAAGTTTACGCAGTCAAGCGCCGCTCCCCCGACCAGTCAAACTCCGCGTATAACGGAACACTGTGGCGCACAGCACAGCCTGCGGTGCTGTGCACTGCAGTGCTGCTGTGCAGAGGCCTGCAATACAGGCTGTAAGTTAGGAAACTCAAGACCAAAGATAACAAGTTCGAAGTTATAAGAATGAGCTGGTATTGCAACTTTGCAAGGTAGGGGGCAACGTATCAAACTGTGTACGGTTGCTGGTATAAGAGCGAAGTCAAGAAGACAATAGTAATTAAATGGTAAGACAATAGTAACTAGATGGCGATCACAACGAAAAGTTTACGGATATATATGAACATTTATTGCGTAAGCTTAGGGTAAAATTTTATCTTGAAGTGTGTTATAATGGTGCAACCTTTACAATGATATTTAGTTGTCGCAGTTACGTTTACATCTCCGATAAGGGCAATTGCATTAAAATTAATAATCCTTAATAGTGAATTCAACTGAACGATGCACGATACAGTACAGTGAATTAAATTTATTCATGAATAATCGATGTGTTACATGCGAACTGAGTTCTAATCTTGTTTTGTCTCTCCCTCGATATGCCTCAGCTACCTTGCCTGATTGCGTGGCATGTCCCAGACGAGTGCCTTGACTCTTGAACACACTCAAAGAAATAAATGGCTAAATATAGAGACTCTCTTTTTACTTTTCTTTCGTTGGTAAAAACCCGGCATTATTTGGTTTTACCCAATAGTGGGTCATCGTGACCCAGTTTGGTCCGGTTATAGCGCACGTCAGTGCTGCGTCCGCTTTTAACTCGCGCTGCGGGTAAAAAAGAAGTGTGTCATGAAAAAGTGTGTATGAATACTTCATGTTTTTGATTACAGTCTGAGTCGTCTGCTCAGTAATACAGACACGTTTGGTTGCTGCATGCAGCTATACCATTGGTCCGATGTGAATGTCGAAAGGCTGTAACGTTGGTCGGCGTGAATATTGAAGGCTGCATTACATGTCAATATGAACCTTTAAAGAATGTACCATTCACTGGTTTAAATGTCGTAAGACAGAATCATTTACCGGTGCCAAGGCCGAAAGCCTGATCATTTACCGGTGCAAAGACCGAAAGACTGCATCATTTACCGGTGCCAAGGCCGAAAGACTGAATCATTTACCGGTGCAAAGGCCGAAAGACTGAATCATTTACCGGTGCCAAGGCCGAAAGACTGAATCATTTACCGGTGCAAAGGCCGAAAGCCTGATCATTTACCGGTGCAAAGACCGAAAGACTGCATCATTTACCGGTGCAAAGGCCGAAAGACTGAATCATTTACCGGTGCCAAGGCCGAAAGACTGCATCATTTACCGGTGCAAAAGCCGAAAGACTGCATCATTTACCGATGCAATGGCCGAAAGACTGCATCATTTACCGGTGCAAAGGCCGAAAGACTGCATCATTTACCGGTGCAATGGCCGAAAGACTGCATCATTTGCCGGTGCAAAGGCCGAAAGACTGCATCATTTACCGGCGCAAAGGCCGAAAGACAGCAAAGACTCTTCCGTGTTTTTGGAACATAAAACATCGTTTCACATTTTCAAACGGAAGGATTAGTTGGAACTGAACGGTGATTCAATGACGGTGAAGTTTGTCATGAACGGTGATTCAATCATTCAATAGATTCTGCGGAAAAAATAAGTACGCACTATTTAATAGGATCATATAGCAAAACTCTCATGTTTTGGGACTTCTTGATCCTTAATAAGGTCCTTATCTTTATCCTTAATGATGAAGTTCTTGATCCTTCCGTATAATTCTTGACTACATTATCCTGTGTGCATTAAAACATGTATATATAAAAAGCTCACCATCTTTTGTACATGTCAGTTTTATATAGTGTAAGTAACACAAAAAAACCTCACCATTTAGCAAATAATTCTGTTTCTGTTTAAAATTGGAAGGCTTTTGCTCTCAGACAGAATGCCTCTTATTAGATAATTTTCAAATACTTTACTATCTTCAAATGGAATCCTGGCTCGACTTAACTGCTGAATTTTTGGACTGGTCCATTCATTTTCATGGTCCATTCATTTTCATTCAAAATATGATAAATTATTATGACATTTTCTTGGCGACTTACCTCCTGAATTATTGGACTGGTCATGAAACTACATTTCCATTCAAAATATGATGAATTATTATAGCATTTTCTTAGTGATTTAACTCCTGAATTTTTGGACTGGTCATGAAACTACATTTCCATTCAAAATATGATGAATTATTATAGTATTTTCTTAGTGATTTAACTCCTGAATTTTTGGACTGGTCATGAAACTACATTTCCATTCAAAATATGATGAGTTATTACAGCATTTTCTTAGCGACTTAACTAAAAGAGAGCGCGGAATGTTAACGTATTAGTATATTAGCTTTGAATGTTGATCAGTACGCTGAAAGCTGGCAACCGTCATGGCGGCAGGTAGACGTGAGGAGAGTTTTGGGTACAGCGGCTTGCCCATCACGGCGTCATCATCATTCCTTTCTCTCCTGACTTGACCGCTGGACGCTTGTGCCCACTGCTGAAGAGCTGCTTTTAAAATACCCTGCTGTGTGTGCCCAGTGCCCACCCACTATCCTTAGTATCCTTCGAGGATATCTTTAGTTTTCCTTCGTAGTATCCTCTCTACGCATCCTTGTTGTTCCAACGTTTTTGTGCCTTGGTCAACGTCGTTGGTTTTCCTGGCTCTTCACCTACGTGAAATGACTTCTCCATTTACCAGCGTTACTTATCAACTTATCATCGGGCAAAAATCGTAATATTTCGCATTACAATATTCCATGTTACAATAGTCCGCAATTATAATAGAATTTGTAATTTAAGTGCAATAGAATTGCTCAAAAGAACTTACGAGATTATTTTTGTTTTCAACAAAAATTCTTGATAATATTTATACCGAGTGAGCTTTTGTCTAATAGATTGGGCACTGCCAATGCGCACGCATTACTGATTGGCTGTAGGTACTGCGCATGCATGTGCAGCACTGATTGGCTGTAGGTACTGCGCATGCATGGGCAGCACTGATTGGCTGTAGGCACTGCGCATGCATGGGCAGTACTGATTGGCTGT